GTGTTGTGATCAAAAGCATTCCAGTGTGGGGCTGGGCTCTTCCAGACCTGAAGCTCTGAAATTTTAAAAGTGAATATACGGTCATTAGTGTTATATCCTTTTGTCAGCTAATAATCAATCTGATGCTTTTATAATCTCACAATGCACAAATGCCCTATTTGATATTTTATTATCACACTTTAAAGAATTTTAATCACTTAAATCTTCATACACACAGTTTGATCCTTTTATAATTACATGCAATAAAGATCACTGATTTTCTGATTAGTGTGTTTACTCAGAGAAGAGAGCACATTTACATATCCTCTTAGTGGTTAGTATAAAACCTTGGACCAGTCGGAGATAGGCTTCAGTTGAGCTCCTGAAGGGTCCTCTGAAGGTGGTGTACGGTTGGTACAGGTTTAATAAATGATCAGTGAATCACTTGTAACTTAACAATTCTCTTTATCGATTTTCATTTTTCACCTGTAGGTACATTTATTAGTGAAAACCAGTTTAGTGGTATGTTTTTGTGTGAACTCAGTTCCAAATTTTAGGGATTTTATAAACTAATTTGCTTTTAAGGAACCACGTAACAGTGAAAACATTTAATCAGAAAACATTACTGATTTAAATGCCGTTTTGCACAAGTAATTTAGCATAAAGTGCAGTTAAAATGCAACTCCTTAAAAACCTGTTGTTAATTTTTAGATAGGAAAATTGTTGCATTAACAGATCATTTTGGTGAAATGCTCATATAGGTAAACCATGAACAGGGATTCACATGTAAAATCTACTTATTTTTTGAGAGGAAAAGTGTGATGCACTACCACCTTTTCTTAGTTATTTGCATAAAGTTATTTAAGTTATATAAAGCATAAATTAAGTGGGTTCAGCACTGAAACCTGAAGAAAATAATCTATTCAGTAGTTGGTTATTTACATTTAGTGTTGTGACATTTATCTGAAAATAAAATATATAGTTCTAACTGCATTTCATCAAGGTCTTTTTTTTCTAAACTGGAGGACAAACAATCGAACATCCTTGTGGTTGTGTTTTAAAATGGGGAGCAGTTTCACTGAAATGGTGTGAGATAACATGTTCGGCTTTGTTCAGGATGTCTGTTGTTTGAGAGCCTTTGACATCTAACTGTCTAAATATTTTGGCATGTTGTGCTGAACAAGTAAATAGGCACAGAGAATTATAATGTTGCTATTGCAGTGCTCTCCAGAAACCTTTATCATGGCCACAGTCACTCACTGCTGTTTGTTGCTGCTCCCTCTGCAGGATAGGAGACCTGAGTGCTGAGCAGAGGCGCCATCTGCTGGTTAAACTAGCACAGCACCTAATTTAAAAGTTGCTACAAAAGCTTTTCTAGTAAATAATAGTTTATCTTTCCACACTAAAATATGTATGAAGCAATAGGTAATATTTATTTAAGTTAGAATATGACAGATTTTAACCAGTTCTTTTTAAATAAGGAAAACTAAAGCAGAAAGCACTGTGCATGTTTGCCTTTGGTTTCTTTTATGTACATTTTTAACACAAGGATTTTTAATTGATGCAATGTAAACTGGCATCACCATATGTAATCAATAAAAGTAACAACATGATATGGCCGGTTGACTAATGTCATTCTTTCCCAGTTAGTTTGTTTTCTCATTTTCTTTGTTTGTCAGGGACATTGCATGGTATTCAATTGTACCAGAATTAGCCATAAGCTAACTTGCATCTGTAGTCCCTGGGCAGGAGGAAATAAAATACAAAAGAAAGGTAATTTAAGCAATTTTGCCAGGCTTGAGTATTTCAAAATCTGCTCAGTTACTGGGATTTTCACGCACAACCATTTCTGGGCTTTACAAAGAATGGTGTGAAAAGGGAAAAGCATCCAGTCTGCGGCAGTCCTGTGGACGAAAATGTCTTGTTGATGTTAGAGGTCAGAGGAGAATGGGCCGACTGATTCAAGCTAATAGCAGAGCAACTTTGACTGAAATAACTACTTGTTACAACCAAGGAATGGAGCAAAGCATTTGTGAAGCCACAACACGCACAACCTTGAGGTGGATGGGCTACAACAGCAGAAGATCCCACCAGGTACCACTCCTCTCCACCACAAATTGGAAAAAGAGGCTTCAATTTGCCCGAGCTTACCAAAATTGGACAGTTGAAGACTGTAAAAATGTTGTGTGGTCTGATGAGTCTCGATTTCTGTTGAGACATTCAAATGGTAGAGTCAGAATTTGGTGTAAACAGAATGAGAAGATGGATCCATCATGCCTTGGCTGGTGGCTGTATAATGGTGTGGGGGATGTTTTCTTGGCACACTTTAGGCCCCTTAGTGCCAATTGGGCATTGTTTAAATGCTACGGGCTACCTGAGCATTGTTTCTGACCATGTCCATCCCTTCATGACCACCATGTACCCATCCTCGGATGGCTACTTCCAGGAGGATAAGGCTCCATGTCATAAAGCTCCAATCATTTCAAATTGGTTTCTTGAACATGACAATGAGTTCACTGTACAACAATGGCCCCAACAGTCACCAGATCTCAACCCGATAGAGCGCCTTTGGGATGTGGTGGAACGGGAGCTTTGTGCCCTGGATGTGTATCCCACAAATCTACATCAACTGCAAGATGCTATCCTATCAATATGGGCCAACATTTCTAAAGAATATTTTCAGCATCTTGTTGAATCAATGCCACTTAGGTTTAAGGCAGTTCTGAAGGCGAAAGGGGGTCAAACACTGTATTAGTATGGGGTTCCTGATAATCCTTTGAATATATATATATATATATATATACAATTTTTTAATTTTATTTATTTATATATATGTTTTTAGAGTGCCATGCTGAAGCAGTATTTTTTCCATTTGGGCCTTTGGTTCAACTGGAAGTTGCACTTTAATTCTGACATGAACAGGTTATTCATAAATGTATTTCTCTGGTAAATTTCAAATAAGTGACCAAAATGTCATAGTCTGAAACAATAGTCTAATAAAGTTTCACATTACAAAATGTCAGTAAATTTAATGAATTCTATTACATGTGCTTAAAACTAGTGATTACATTTTCTAATCAGCATAACCAATCAATTTTTACTGGAATTTTCTTTATCAGACTTCTGACAAGAAAAGAAAAACTGTGAAATTGTCAAGGTTGTGGGGAGTTTCCTGACCCAAGACATGCAGATTCACACTAGGAGATGGAGGTAAGTGAAAACAAAAATGTTTTATTTTGTAAGGGAAACTAAAGGTGCACTGCCAGACGAGGCGGTAATGATGAGCAGAGCTCTGGGGCTGGGTCTGCTGAGACAAACAATGGTCACGATTGGGCAGAGTAGAATGCTAGGAGGTATTTGTTTCTGTAGGTCTTACGGTAGGATTGAGATCCAAAATATTGAGGGGGGAGTCAGGACTAGGGTGAGCTGGGGAGGTGGGAATGTGGAATCCAAGGGAGGTGAGCGGTGGGAGAGCGGGTCGGTCCAGTCATGGAGGGAGGTCAAGCTTGAAGGTGAAATCCAGGTTATTGCAGAATTGGTCTGTGGTGAGAGTTCCTGGGGAGGACAAGGCAGGGTACATTCAAAACAACAATTGATAGTGAGCACAAGGCAAAATACTAAAGCTATAGTTATCTCTGTAATGACAAGAGCTACCCAAAGTGCGTAATCATCGGCAAAGTGAAGTGATCTCCCAGCTCCTTATATCCTGGACCGGTTGATTAGGAGTTGACTGCAGCTGGCCCTCTCCAGAATCGCCCACCTGCAGAGACTGAGGCAAGGTGAACAGAATTGTGCAGCACTCACCCCAGATCCTGACAGAAATATGCCATACAAAATACTGGTTTTACAGTAAAAAATCTAATTGATTTTATTCTCTGAAAAAAAATTAAGAAATATAAAACCTTCCACACCCATTATGGCTTAGTTTACCCTGGGGATATTTAATGTTTCAGGGATAAACGTCTACTAATTTAATGGCAACAATGAGAAATTTCTTTTGAGTATTTGTTTTGCATCCTTGTCAAGATGTTACATCTGATTTTAAGTGGATCTGTGAAGGTACAAATGTTCACACTATCTTATTGGCAGCGGTATGAAGGGTTGTCATTGACCTCAATGCCCTTGCACAGCTTTGTTGTGTACAACTTGCAAGTGACTACCTTTTAATTGTAAATAGTGAAATGGCGAGTTGCTTTTATGTCTGTAATAAGATGTGTTTATCCATTTGTTTCACATTGTGTTGTCAAACGTCATAGTGAGTCGTTGATTTCGTTCACTTTAAGTTTGTTTAAACTAATTAATCTCAATATTTCTATTGGCACAACTGAGAAAAGTCTTAGTACGATTTTGTATTTTATGGTAAACAACTGAACCCAGATGTTCGCAGGAGTCAAGCGTTTACTTCACAATAAGCTGAAACATGGGCAAACCCTTATTCTTGCAGCTAAAGCTTTATTTCGCTGTCCGTGGTCCTGAAATCTCCCCGTTGCTTTATATTGCGGAGCCGACACTATTACTGTTAGAAACCACTGTTAATATTTGAATTGCGTCATGTGTATTGCCTTTATTCTAATAACAATTCTGATACAGTTAAAACTGATCAATGTTGTGGGGAAAATTGTTTATTGTCGAATTTGTTATTTCATGATTATTTTAATAAACAAATAAAAAAAGTTTCTTGGTAATTTTGGTTTATAAATCAACAGCAATTACCTGAACAAAACATCAAAAATAATAAATTCCTATCAGGTGTTTTGGAAGTTTGTGAAAATGTTGCTCACGTTTTTCCTGTTTAATAATAAAATAAAATGAAAAACAAATGTTTTAGTTCAATTATGCTATCGTTAAAACAGAAGGAGGTCATATTTATCGTGTTTTATCAATCGATGTTCTGATAAATAGTCTGTCTGCTTTAGACCCCTCTATTAGGTAACGATGTGGAGAGTTTAGAGGTGTCTCCCGAAGATGTAAATGTGAAAGGCGACTCGAGGTGCCGCTGTTGGCTAATCTAAAAGTGGAGCAGACTTCTCCACCCTCTCTCATAGCTTTTGTAGACAGACATTATTCAGTAAAAACCCATGCAACCTATTTCCAACATCGCTGCTGCTAGTGGTTAGTCGGCTATTCTGTAATCGCCTTTTTGTAGTTCGTATGCAGACTCTGAACGTGACGCTGACCGAGGATGGAAGACAAAGGATTTTCAGCGTTTGGTCTGATCCTCTGCTTTGTTTCCTTTATGGCGATCCACCTTGTTCATGGAGATCTGAGCTACTCGTTTCCAGAGGAGCTGAGTCGAGGATCTGTTATCGGAAATATAGCCAAGGATCTAAGTCTGGATCTGAGAGCTTTATCTGAGCGAAAGGCCCGTGTGGATTTTGAGGGGAGTCGGAAGAGCTACTGTGACGTTAACATGAACACCGGAGATTTGATGACATCGGAGAGGATCGACAGAGAAAGCCTTTGTGGAAAGAAGCCTGCGTGCGTGATTAAAATAGATTTGGTGTTAGAAAACCCTTTAGAGCTGCATCGTGTGAGTCTGCAGGTGCAGGATGTGAACGACAACTCACCGAAATTCAAAAAGAATTTGATTGAATTGGAAATATGGGAATCTGCGGAAAGAGGGAACCGCTTCTCCGTTGAGGAGGCTCATGACGCAGATATAGGTCAAAATGGTGTGCAAAGGTACGTTTTGCAGAAGAATGACAATTTTATTTTGGTAGTGGAAAACAAAAGAGTAGAACTGGTTTTAGAGAATAAACTTGACCGAGAGAAACATAAGGAAATAAATGTGCTGCTGACAGCTTTAGATGGAGGATCTCCTCAGAGATCAGGTACAGTAGTTATTCACGTCACTGTGCTGGATGCTAATGATAACGCCCCAGTGTTCAGTCAGGAGGTTTATAAAGCCAGTCTGCCTGAAAACTCTCCCTCTGAAACCGCAGTGGTTACTATTAGTGCGACTGATGCAGACGAGGGCATTAATGGAGATGTGACTTATGATTTTGGTCATCTTTCTGAAGAAAATGTAAATGTGTTTTCTATCGATTCTAAAACTGGAGAAATTAGGGTAAAAGGTGTAATTGACTTTGAGGAAATTAATTTGTATGAAATGAGCATTGAAGCTAAAGATGGGTTAGGCCTGACCTCTTATGCTAAAGTAATAATAGATGTTACAGACATAAATGATAATGCACCTGCTATCTACATAAAGTCCCTGTCCAATCCGGTACCTGAGAACGCACCACCTGGTACAGAGGTGGGCATCATCAACGTGCAGGACAGAGACTCTGAGAAGAACCGTCAGGTCCGCTGCTCCATCCAGCAGAACGTTCCTTTTAAGTTGGTTCCGTCTATCAAAAACTATTATTCTCTGGTGACCACAGGACAGCTGGACCGTGAACTAGTGTCTGATTACAACATTACAATCAGTGCCACTGACGAGGGCTCTCCACCTCTGTCCTCCTCTAAAACAGTTCAGTTATCTGTAGCTGACATCAACGACAACCCACCTGTGTTTGAGGAGCAGTCCTACAGCGCTTATGTGAGTGAAAATAACAAACCTGGCTCCACTTTATGTTCCGTTAGTGCTCGAGACCCGGACTGGAGACAAAACGGTACCGTGATTTATTCTCTGTTACCTGCTGAGGTGAACGGCGCGTCGGTGTCCTCCTTTCTATCAGTTAACGGAGACACGGGGGTGATCCACGCTGTCAGGTCGTTTGATTATGAACAGCTGAGGAGTTTTAAAGTCCACGTGATGGCCAGAGACAACGGTTCTCCTCCTCTCAGCAGCAACGTGACCGTGAGTGTGTTCGTATCAGATGTGAATGACAACTCTCCTCAGATACTGTACCCCGCCCCGGAGGGCAGCTCCTTCATGACCGAGCTGGTCCCCAAAGCTGCACACGGAGGCTCTCTGGTGTCCAAAGTGATAGCGGTGGACGCGGACTCTGGACAGAACGCCTGGCTGTCTTATCAGATAGTCAGATCCACTGATCCGGGACTTTTCACTATCGGTGTGCACAGCGGAGAGATCAGGACGCAGCGGGACATTTCTGAATCTGACAGCATGAAACAGAACCTGATTGTAGCAGTGAAAGATAACGGACAGCCCTCTCTGTCTGCCACCTGTGCCATGTATTTACTGATTTCTGATAACTTGGCTGAGGTGCCAGAGCTGAAAGATATTTCTTATGATGACAAGAACTCCAAACTGACCTCATATCTGATCATTGCACTGGTGTGTGTGTCCACCTTCTTCCTGACCTTCATCATCATCATCCTGGGTGTGAGATTTTGTCGCAGGAGAAAGCCCAGACTGTTGTTTGATGGAGCAGTGGCCATTCCCGGAGCTTATCTCCCTCCAAATTACGCAGATGTTGATGGAACAGGAACTTTACGCAGCTCCTACAACTATGACGCCTACCTGACAACAGGATCTAGAACCAGTGACTTTAAGTTTGTGTCATCTTACAATGACAACACGCTGCCTGCTGACCAGACTCTGAAGAAAAGTCCCTCTGAGTTTGAGGATCCCTTTGAAGGATTTAATACATCCGAAGAGGTAGGGCATTTTAGAGCATGCTTTTTATTCTTTACCACTTGAATGGCTTTGCTCATCCAACCTATTTTATTTACACGTAAGTTGTCATAAATGTTGCTCAGCCTTACTGGCCTTCTAATAGTTTTTATGTTATTATCTTATGAAGACTAGAACGAAATGCTCAACTTCTTCACTTCATCCATTCACGACTGATTGTGTGAAATCGATTTACAGAAATAATTACGTTTTTTGCATATTTAGAAGTAAATGTTTATACTAAAATTTCCATTCGTTTGGTGGTTGTATTGATGCCTATTTCCTGAACAGTACACAATATTTTTATTTAGTGCTCAGTGCTAAAATAGAATATGTGTTTTAATCCCTTTTTACATCAAGTTTACTAGCTCCGATGAAGTTTAAGCACATAACCTACAAACACAACATTTAAAATCTTAGCATTCATTTTGCTTTTTATTTTTCTTCTCATTTATTTTTGGGGTACCTTTCCGTGGTGCTGAAATAATGACGAGTATTTAACGATATAATTTCACTCACGTGGAACTGCCTAATTTGATTTATTTAAATCAGCTAGGAATATTTTTAAAAGATATTTTGTCTACTTGAGAACTGGGGAAAAGACCAGATTGGAATAAGAATGTTGCAACGTGACTATTAGTATTGAAAAAATCGGTCCCACCGTTTAATATCAACCCAACGTGCGTGTTATTTTTCTACATTAACACGATTTTTTTTGTTTGTTTTGTTTTGTCTGTGAAAAAAAAAACAGGCCAGACTTTCCAATATTAAAAATGAGGATCCATGTCGCCTAACAGTTTAAAAAGGAAACTATTGTTTGATTCAGTACATTCGTATAACCGGCTCTCTTATTATTAATATATTTTTTTTCAAAAGTAAACATTTTATAGTTTGCCAGCTTTTCTTTACACAAGCGTTTGCATCAAAATTACTCAAGAGGTCGCTGGTGACTGGCATACAACATTAAATCTTTACCACTCCACCCATTGTTGCAGAGGCTTTTCCAGCTTTGTCTTTGATGGTTTATTTCGGAACACTGCGGACATTTTTTCGTAAAAATAGCTTCATTATTATACGTTTACTCGCACATATAAAATCGTTGCGCTGCGCTGCGGTTCTGCTCCTAACTGCTCGGCATGGAGGACAACGGATTTCCAGCGCTACGTCTGATCTGCTTTGTTTCCTTTATGACGATCAACCTCGTTCATGGAGATCTGAGCTATTCGTTTCCCGAGGAGCTGAACAGAGGATCTATAATCGGAAATGTGGCGAAGGATCTCGGTCTTGATCTGAAAGAATTTTCTTCTCGGAAGGCTCGTGTGGATTTGGAAGGACCCCAGAAGCGCTTTTGTGATATAAACATGAATAATGGTGAACTGGTGACATCAGAGAAAATAGACAGAGAAAGCATTTGTGGAAAGAAACCTTCTTGTCTCCTCAGAATTGACCTGGTGTTGGAAAATCCCCTAGAGCTTCATCGCGTGAGTCTTCACATACAAGATATAAACGACAATTCACCTAAATTTAGAGTAAATTTGATCGAAATGGAAATCAGTGAATCAGCGGATAGAGGGAACCGCTTTCCGATCGAAGTGGCCCATGACGCAGATGTTGGTCAAAACGCCGTGCAGAAATACGTCCTCCAAAAAAATGATAACTTTATTCTTGCAGTAAATAATAACAATGTAGAGCTGGTACTAGAAAACAAACTTGATCGAGAAAAACAAAAAGAAATGAATTTGCTGCTGACAGCTTTAGATGGAGGATCTCCTCAGAGATCAGGTACAGTAGTCATTCATGTCTCTGTGCTGGATGCTAATGATAACGCCCCAGTGTTCAGTCAGGAGGTTTATAAAGCCAGTTTGCCTGAAAACTCTCCTTTAGACACTCTAGTGGTCACAGTTAGTGCAGCTGATGCTGATGAGGGAGTGAATGGAGATGTGACTTATCAATTTGGCCACATATCTGAGAATGATGTAAATGTGTTTTTTATTAATCCAAAAACTGGAGAAATTAAAGTAATTGGTGCAATAGATTATGAGGACACAAATTCCTTTGAAACGAGTGTACAAGCCAAAGATGGGTTAGGGCTGACCTCTTATGCTAAAGTAATAATAGATGTTACAGACATAAATGATAATGCACCTGCTATCTACATAAAGTCCCTGTCCAAACCGGTACCTGAGAACGTACCACCTGGTACAGAGGTGGGCATCATCAACGTGCAGGACAGAGACTCTGAGAAGAACCGACAGGTCCGCTGCTCCATCCAGCAGAACGTTCCTTTTAAGTTGGTTCCTTCTATTAAAAACTATTATTCTCTGGTGACCACAGGACAGCTGGACCGTGAACTAGTGTCTGATTACAACATTACAATCAGTGCCACTGACGAGGGCTCTCCACCTCTGTCCTCCTCTAAAACTGTTCAGTTATCTGTAGCTGACATCAACGACAACCCACCTGTGTTTGAGGAGCAGTCCTACAGCGCTTATGTGAGTGAAAATAACAAACCTGGCTCCACTTTATGTTCCGTTAGTGCTCGAGACCCGGACTGGAGACAAAACGGTACCGTGATTTATTCCCTGTTACCTGCTGAGGTGAACGGCGCGTCGGTGTCCTCCTATCTATCAGTTAACGGAGACACGGGGGTGATCCACGCTGTCAGGTCGTTTGATTATGAACAGCTGAGGAGTTTTAAAGTCCACGTGATGGCCAGAGACAACGGTTCTCCTCCTCTCAGCAGCAACGTGACCGTGAGTGTGTTCGTATCAGATGTGAATGACAACTCTCCTCAGATACTGTACCCCGCCCCGGAGGGCAGCTCCTTCATGACCGAGCTGGTCCCCAAAGCTGCACACGGAGGCTCTCTGGTGTCCAAAGTGATAGCGGTGGACGCGGACTCTGGACAGAACGCCTGGCTGTCCTATCAGATAGTCAGATCCACTGATCCGGGACTTTTCACTATCGGTGTGCACAGCGGAGAGATCAGGACGCAGCGGGACATTTCTGAATCTGACAGCATGAAACAGAACCTGATTGTAGCAGTGAAAGATAACGGACAGCCCTCTCTGTCTGCCACCTGTGCCATGTATTTACTGATTTCTGATAACTTGGCTGAGGTGCCAGAGCTGAAAGATATTTCTTATGATGACAAGAACTCCAAACTGACCTCGTATCTGATCATTGCGCTGGTGTGTGTGTCCACCTTCTTCCTGACCTTCATCATCATCGTCCTGGGTGTGAGGTTTTGTCGCAGGAGAAAGCCCAGACTGTTGTTTGATGGAGCAGTGGCCATTCCCGGAGCTTATCTCCCTCCTAATTACGCAGATGTTGATGGAACAGGAACTTTACGCAGCTCCTACAACTATGACGCCTACCTGACAACAGGATCTAGAACCAGTGACTTTAAGTTTGTGTCATCTTACAATGACAACACGCTGCCTGCTGACCAGACTCTGATGAAAAGTCCCTCTGAGTTTGAGGATCCCTTTGACACACTGGGTTCAACATTAGAGGTAGGACACTTTTCCCCTTTAAGTTCCAATTGCTCATTTAATATTGCCCCCCTTTTAAACGTCATAAATGCTTGTTTCTTCATTTAAATGCTTGTGTATTTATAATCTTCCAATTATAATATGCATTGTTGTCCCACTTTACATAATCATCATTCATCTGTATATAATCCACACTTGGTAGGAACTTGTTTCTATTCAATTGTTGCTGTTTGCTTTTTCAAACAAAGCCACATTTTATAGTTTCTCTGTGGTTTTAGAATATTCCATAACATTTTTTTGCTGATTCCAAATCTATTGTACAGCTTTACATCACATCAACCACTATTATTACATTTTAAAAGTCACCATTTTAAAACTTTATTAACAGTTATTTCAGTACCTATTTCAAGTCATTTTCAAGCTACAAAGATGTTTTAGGTTTTTTCATATTTTGCTGTAAACTTTTGCTTTAAAATCACTTCTGAGAGAAAAATAATGCTAGAAAATCTCTGTCCATAATCCTGAAACCACTACATTCTCCCTTACTCTGGGTTCAATTCAATTCAAGTTTATTTGTATAGCGCCAAATCACAACAAGAGTCGTCTCAAGGCACTTCACATAATAAACATTCCAATTCAGGTCAGTTCATTAAGCCAATCAGAAATAATGTTTCCTATATAAGGAACCCAGCAAATTGCATCAAGTCACTGACTAGTGTCAGTGACTATACAGCAATCCTCATACTAAGCAAGCATAAAGCGACAGTGGAGAGGAAAACTCCCTTTTAACAGAAAGAAACCTCCAGAGAATCCCAGCTCAGTATAAACAGCCATCCTCCACGACTCACTGGGGATCGAGAAGACAGAGCACACACACACACACACACACACACACACACACACACACACACACACACACACACACACACACACACACACACACACACACACACACACACACACACACACACACACACACACACACACACACACACACACACACACACAGAGAGAGAGACAAGTAATGTATCTACAGTTATACTGTGATGTCTTAGTAAATATTCTATTTGGTGAAAGATAAACTATTGTATTTATCCTAGTGGATCTATAATTAAACGGATAAACTAGCAGTAGCACATCCAACGTCAAGGAAAGCAAAAAGTTATTATCAGGAGAGGGAGAATGTTTAAGTGGTTAGCAGCAGTGTGCTAGACGATGGCCCCCTCCATGAGGCCATCACAGCTCAGCAGAATATCATTGTAGCTTCTTCTGGGGAGAAAAACACTTGGAGAGAAAATAAAGTTAACAGCTGAAATTGCAGAAAGTAATACAGTTAAAGAGCAGATAGTAGAAGAAGGTATAGTGTGGAAAGTGGTCAGTGTATCCTCCAGCAGTCTAAGCCTATAGCAGCATAACTACAGAGAAAACTCTGGATAATCTATCCTATTTAGATGGAGGCATGTTGGAGGCAGGGCAAGGGAGAGCCGTCTTTACCGACTGTACACTCCACCTCCCTCTACTCCTCCACTTGTCCTGATTTAGGCTAACATCAGATTTTAACCATAGGCCCCATCAAATAAAAATGTTTTAAGCCTATTCTTCAATGTAGACAAAGTGTCTGCCTCATGGACTAAGGCTGGGAGCTAGTTCCACAGGAGAGGAGCCTGATAACTAAAAGATCTGCCTCCCATCCTAATTTTAGATATTCTGGGAACCACCAGTAAACCTGCAGTCTGGGAGCAAAATGCTCGGTTAGGAACATATGGAACAATCAGATCACTTATGTATGATGGAGCTTGATTATTAAGAGCTTTATATGTGAGAAGGAGGATCTTAAAATCTATTCTGAATTTAACAGGTAGCCAATGTAGGGAAGCTAATTCTCATCAGAACTCTAGCTGGAGCATTTTGGACAAGCTGAAGACTTTTAACTACATTCTGTGGACTTCCTGAGAGTAATGAATTACAGTAATCCAGTCTTGATGTAATAAATGCATGAACTAGTTTTTCAGCATCACTCCTGGAAAGGATGCTTCTAATCTTAGCAATATTCCGAAGGTGGAAAAAGAAAATCCTACAAACCTGTTAAACATGGGATTTGAATGACATGTCCTGGTCAAATATAACACCAAGGTTCCTTACTTTGTTCTCGGAGATTAATGTAATGCCATTCAGGTCAGGCGATTGGCTAAGCAATTTCCTTTTCTGGATGTCTGGTCCAAAGATGAGAAATTCTGTCTAGTCTTGATTTAAAAGCAAAAAGTTTAGAGTCATCCTATTTTTTATGTCCTCAAGACAAGCCTGTAATCTACCCAACTGATTAGGTTCATCAAGGTTAATGGATAAATATAACTGAGTATTGTCAGCATAACAGTGGAAGTTTATCCCATGCTGTCTAATGATTTTACCAATTGGGAGCATATATATAGTAAAAAGAATTGGTCCAAGCACTGAACCCTGTGGTATTCCGCAAGTAACCCTGGAGTATGAAGACAATTTGTCATGTACATTTACAAAATGAAATCTGTCAGACAGATAGGATTTAAACCAGCCCAACACTGTTCCTTTGATCCCTACAAGATGTTCAAGTCTTTCTAAAAGAACATTGTGATCAACTGTGTCAAAGGCAGCACTGAGATCTAACAAGACTAGAACAGAAACAAGATTCTTATCTGAGGCCATGAGAATATAATTTGTAACTCTCACTAATGCAGTTTCAGTGTTGTGATACTCTCTAAAACCAGACTGAAATTCCTCAAACAGAGCATTAGTGTTTAAATGCTCACATACTTGGATGGCCACTATTTTCTCCAGGACTTTGGATAAAAATGGAAGGTTAGATATTGGTCTATAATTCAGTGGGTCATCTGGATCCAGAGAAGGCTTCTTAATTGAAGGTTTGATTACAGCAACCTTAAAATCTTGTGGTACATACCCATTCACTAAGGATAGATTGATTGTATCTAGAATGGGGGCAGTAACCAAATGAAATGCTTCTTTAAATAATTTGGTTGGGATTGGATCCAAAATGCAAGTTGAAGGTTTAGATGAAGCTAATATTTTTGATAACTCTGAAAGCTCAACTGGATCAAAACGGTTCAAGCACAGATGAAGTTCTGCAGTCACCTTTGATGCTGCCTCACTTACTGAGGAAGAAGAAATTGCATTAGGGAGGATGCTAAAGATTTTTTTTTCTAATATAATTAATTTTACTTGTAAAAAATCCCATGAAGTCATTGCTGCTGAGGGCTAAGGGAATAGATGGCTCAGAGCTATGATTCTGTGTAAGTTTAGCAACTGTACTGAAAAGAAATTTAGGATTATGCTTATTCTCCTCAATCAATGCTGAGAAATAAGCAGTTCTAGTTTGTCGAAGCTTATTTTTATAAAGCACAAGACTATTTTTCCAGGATAGGTAGGCCTCCTCATGGTGCGTAGAGCGCCATGTTCTCTCCAATTTCCTAGAGTTTTGTTTTAAGGCTCGTAAATGAGAATTAAACCAGGGAGCCAACTTCCTGTCCCTAATTACCTTCTTTTTTAAAGGGGCAACATCATCTAATGCCACACTCTTGGGCACTCTTTTCTTGTCATGAATTACTGCAGCGGTTTCTCTCGTTTAATGCAACCTAACGCTTTAAACATTCATAAATGAGAACGTGGATGTGGAACTTGTGCCATATTTTTTTATGATTTAAAATGTAATTGAGTTGATGTAATTGTACATTTTTAATTCTCTGATTCACTGGCTTCTGCTTTGATGCTGATGAAGATGCAAATCCAACCTTTTTCTAAATATAGGACTTAAATACCATACAAATCTATCTGCTCTTGACTCAAAGAAAAGCCATAATCTGCATAGTCCAGAAGTGATGCCAAAACTTTCAAACGAGCTGCCACCATCTTTGTTTTGGTCAGTAGCAGTAACATTCCACCCACCAAACCAATAAAGCACTATGATTGGCCCACCAAACCGATAAAGCACTGTGATTGGCCCACCAAACCTAAAAAGCACTGTGATTGGCTGGCCACAATAGTGGTCAGAACTGCTAAGGTACCAGTGGAGCGTCGCTAGACTAACATGCAAAGCAGAATCATTTTGCTTCTGCCAATATCTGTCTAGATTTCTAGTCTATGGATTTGCTACAAACTACTAATAAAACTGCCTGCCACAACTTTTTAAGCAAAAATAGTATTTTTTGTGTGTGTGTGTGTTCTAAAAGTCAGCAGACACAATATTTTCTGTACTTGTGGTTGCGAGTGATGGCATCAGTGACTCCGATTTAATGTCAAAGAAAGGTTTTTTTGGACAAAAAATGTTTACCATCACATAATCTCTAACTCATGCCCACACTTGTCTTCTGGTTTTAAATAAAGCCCTTTTGTTTAAAAACTTACAGGAAAACGGACCTTCATCATAAAGCACACCTTTTCATTTTAGAGAATCTGGGCAAAATTTGTTAAAACTGAAGTCTTAAAAATGTAAAATATGCATGTAAATGGATCATAGTATTTTTTATGTTATTCTAAAATGCAGAACAGGTGCCCCATCCATGCTATAACTGTTTGTTAATTAATTAATTAATTAATTATTTTTAACAGGAAGTGAGAAAACACAGAGATGCAGCTGCCCTCTGTTGGTGGGATGAGTATTCAGGACAAGCTGAAAATAAACAGAACTCAGCACATTTTCCCACAATTAAAACGTAATAAAAGAAAATGCACCCGCGAAACTCCTGAGCAACATTAATAAACAAATCCTATGACTGTCAATGAAGAACAAATAACAGGAGTTGAATGAACAGTTCTGATTAAAACAACAACACACATGACAAGCACTAATGCAGTTGTAACATCATGGATCAGTTGTTACTATAAGCAGCGCTTCTTAACGCTATCACAAACTTAAATCAAGTATTTCAGGTGGCCTCACCTCTCTGCCACATAGTTGATGAGTGTGTAGCAGAAAACAACCAGTTTTTAAGGAGAAGCTTTTGGTTCCCAAAATCTCTGTGATTCTGAGTTGCTGTGAAATTGAAGTTAAGAATAAGCTAAACGGCCTTGCTTGTCATTTTAAAATTGCTATACTGAATTTGTTAGCATACAACATTGTTATACGGTGACAGAGGTGTGTTCCAGTATTATTATTTGCAGAAAAAGTGCCAGCAACAGGTCAGAAACTTAAAACTGAACCCTCATTGCTGTGTTCTGGAGGTTAATACACCTTTAAAAATAGGGTTGGGTTTTTATTTTTGTGTTTTCAAAAAGCAAATGTTCTTGAAATGCTTTTTCAGTATTGCAGATGCCCTTTTTGAGTTGTTTTGATAGCTTACTGACCCTGCCCTTGTTATAAAGTAACCTTTGAGTTTGGATGTATTCAGCAGCTGTTTGGCTTTGTCAGTGTCGTACACTTTTGGCACAAGAAGTGTTTTAGCTGCAGCCAACATTATTTTGTGTCTACTGCTAATTAGTAGCTGAGAGGGTTTCAAATGATGGAAGGGAAGTGGTACAATCCAGCAGTGCTAACTATTAGTGCACTGCTTTTTTCCAGAGTCTTACTTTTCTACTCTCTGCACATATTTTGTATTCTCTATTAGAAGAAGAAGTATGGGGTGATGATGATACCATAACACTCACACAATCCTTTGAACTTTTTCAGCGATGCACTGCAGGATGGATGGGATGTCTGCTAAAGTCAAAGTTCTTTATTTGTCCCCTTTGGGAGAAACTTGGTTCAGAAAGAGGGGGGTTACACTGCACCACCATCCTTCACTCATCCAGACCATTACTGAAATAAAACAGTACATGCACAGATTAATAACAAAAATAAGGAGAAAATTAAGAAAGTGTAAAATAAAATAAATAAATAAAAACCTACAAAACAATGTATCTTAAAAGGAAATATACACGTTCATTTTTAACCTGCCTGCCTATAGACAACAGCATGTTCTACCAGATATGTTCATCTCATGCTTGATGTGCACTCATTGTTTTGGGAGAAATTTAGGGTTGTACCAGTTATGTTTACAGAGACGGACACTCTTCCTTTGTTGCAAGTTTAGTAAAACACCTTTAGTGTAAAACATGGCAGGGAGCTGTTAAAATACTGTCTGCCTGTCTGAGGATGGTCTTCTCAAACATCTCTGTGGTGTTAAGAGAGCAGTTGAACCTATTATCTTCCCAGTTATCAGAGTTTAAATCTGAGTCTTTGACTTCACAGTCACGCTATGTTTCAGAGACAGTATAACAGCATGACTGTTTAAGTTTATTCACATCAATACTTTCTGTAGTACTAGTTCTATATCTTGTTTAGATTTAAACTTGAATATGTCAGAACCCACTTGGCCAAAGGGGAAGTCTGAGCCTTTGCTGGTTTTGGGGGGTCTTTGTCATTTGTTTTTGAAGCTTTGAACACTTTCTATTTTTTTGTCAGAAGTCATTCTAGATCACTTCAGGAGCCATTGTCTGTTCACAATTCCCAGATGTGACTGATTTATGAGTTCTTATATGTTCTTCCTCATGAAAGGTGGAAAAACTGCACAGAGCACTTTGTAAACTATTCTGTAACAAAAATTTAACACCTTGGGTCCCAGTATTGTTGAATGACAAGTGGAACATCTCTCATTTGTCTGCCCAACCCTGATATATTGGGTTCTGCAAGACTTGAAAGTTCCTTATATGTTGCTTACGGCTTACTTCTCTCAACACATTCCAGCAAAGCGTTCTAACTGTGCGTGTGAGCTGAGCCCTTGACAATGTTTCTGGAAGTCCCATACTTTCTTCTGCTGTACAGGACACACATCATTCCACTGTAGCCACTGACATATGCACATGGGAGCTGAAGGCAGCGACTTTAATGCTTTTAACTGGTTTGTGGTAATTTAAAACTGTAACCTGTCTGCCAAAGATGCAAAAGGGTTTACCTAAAATATATAATATTTAATAATATGAAAACAAAATTAGATACCTTTTTTTTTATCAAACATTTTGTAAAGTTGTATTGTTAACCACTGAAATAGTATTTTCGATCTATGATTCATATACCTCTGGGTCTAATTTTTAACATTCTGATACATTTGCAAGATCACTGTCAGATAACATTTTTTTCCAAACTAAAGGTGTTTGGTAGTTAAAAGCCGATCATTGCAGATTTTACTCCTAACTTTGGTAACTTAGACTGAGAATGTGAAGTAATGTAAAAGAGTTATCATTAAATAAATGAACTTAAGTTATTATTTATTTTATCAAAATACACTAAGAAACACCATTTAGGTAAGGTTTAAATCGTTTCATTTGAGCCTGTTGCATTTACTGTCGCTAATCTATAAGCAAAGCAACAACTGATAAACATGAGCTTGAGCTGCTTTTGAGAACCTATCAGTGTATTTTAAACACTTTTGAATTATTATATTAATTATATATGTACAATAATTTTAATGTTTTATATACAGAGCAGACTTCCTCACCACACAGGCTCTGAGCACTGTTGTAAAAATAATCCTTTGATTTGCATTTCTTGAGCTGAAATTGGAGAGGCAGGCTAATCTGGATTTCTATTTCTTCCCCATGTCTTTCATTTCAGAAAAGTCCTCATCTACTAAAATCAATAGCAAGTTTCACGTGGTAACCTGAATTTTATAGATTATTTTCGTTTTAATTTAATAACAAGTTGGACAGCAGCCTTCTCAGAGGAGACTGGACACAGAAATCAGAAATTTTTTGGAAAAATCTCAACTTCTAACTGGTAAAACGATCTTATTTATCCTTATTTGATTCTGTAATTCAGTCACAGTAACGGACATTATTATGCTCCAGTGTAATTATGAAAGGAGGCTAAAGATGTCGCTCTTGGCTTTAAGAAAATTAATTCGGACCACTCCACCCATCGCTGCATAAACGATCGGTTTGATCTACAAAGAACCATCGGGATAGACTCACTCGTGTTTCTTTGAGAAATCCTGCGCTTATTTGCTATTTGGTACCCAATTTGTTGTTTCAGCATTGATCTACCGTCTTATGGAAACATGGGATACCAAGGGATTTTAACATTTGGCTCGATCTTCTGTTTCTCTTTGTTTTTTGGAGCGCTGCATCTGGCCTGCGGGGATCTGAGTTATTCGTTTCCAGAAGAGAAGAAAAGAGGGTCTGCGATCGGAAATATAGCAAAGGATCTCGGTCATGATCTGAAGACTCTCTCTTCTCGCAAGGCCCGTGTGGATTTTGAGGGGATGCATAAACGCTACTGTGAAATTAGCTTCGGTTCTGGGGATTTAATAGCATCGGAGAGGATCGACAGAGAAAGCCTTTGTGGCAAGAAACCTTCGTGTGTTGTAAAAGCAGATCTGGTGTTGGAAAACCCGCTGGAGCTTCACCGCGTGAGTCTACATGTTCATGATGTGAACGATAATTCACCACAGTTCAATGAAGAAATTATTCAAATGGAAATACGAGAGTCTGCGGAAAAGGGCAACCGGTTCTCCATAGAGGAGGCCCATGACGCAGACATAGGACAAAACGATATTCAGAGATACAGCCTGCAGAGAAATGAACATTTTATTCTAGCAGTGGATAACAACAAAGTCGAGCTCGTACTAGAAAACAAACTTGACCGGGAAAAGCAAAAAGAAATTAATTTGCTGCTGACAGCTTTAGATGGAGGATCTCCTCAGAGATCAGGTACAGTAGTCATTCATGTCTCTGTGCTGGATGCTAATGATAACGCCCCAGTGTTCAGTCAGGCTGTTTATAAAGCCAGTCTGCCTGAAGACTCTCCTTTAGACACTCTAGTGGTCACAGTCAGTGCAGCTGATGCTGATGAGGGACTGAACGGAGATGTGACTTATCAATTTGGCAACATAGCTGATGATGACGTCAGCGTATTTTCTATTGATCCGAAAACAGGTAAACTTAAAGTAATTTCTGCGATTGATTATGAAACACAAAGATACTTTGAGATTAGAATAAAAGCCAAAGATGGGTTAGGGCTGACCTCTTATGCTAAAGTAATAATAGATGTTACAGACAAAAATGATAATGCACCTGCTATCTACATAAAGTCCCTGTCCAACCCGGTACCCGAGAACGCACCACCTGGTACAGAGGTGGGCATCATCAACGTGCAGGACAGAGACTCTGACATTAACGGACAGGTCCGCTGCTCCATCCAGCAGAACGTTCCTTTTAAGTTGGTTCCTTCTATCAAAAACTATTATTCTCTGGTGACCACAGGACAGCTGGACCGTGAACTAGTGTCTGATTACAACATTACAATCAGTGCCACTGACGAGGGCTCTCCACCTCTGTCCTCCTCTAAAACAGTTCAGTTATCTGTAGCTGACATCAACGACAACCCACCTGTGTTTGAGGAGCAGTCCTACAGCGCTTATGTGAGTGAAAATAACAAACCTGGCTCCACTTTATGTTCCGTTAGTGCTCGAGACCCGGACTGGAGACAAAACGGTACCGTGGTTTATTCTCTGTTACCTGCTGAGGTGAACGGTGCGTCGGTGTCCTCCTATCTATCAGTTAACGGAGACACGGGGGTGATCCACGCTGTCAGGTCGTTTGATTATGAACAGCTGAGGAGTTTTAAAGTCCACGTGATGGCCAGAGACAACGGTTCTCCTCCTCTCAGCAGCAACGTGACCGTGAGTGTGTTCGTATCAGATGTGAATGACAACTCTCCTCAGATACTGTACCCCGCCCCGGAGGGCAGCTCCTTCATGACCGAGCTGGTCCCCAAAGCTGCACACGGAGGCTCTCTGGTGTCCAAAGTGATAGCGGTGGACGCGGACTCTGGACAGAACGCCTGGCTGTCTTATCAGATAGTCAGATCCACTGATCCGGGACTTTTCACTATCGGTGTGCACAGCGGAGAGATCAGGACGCAGCGGGACATTTCTGAATCTGACAGCATGAAACAGAACCTGATTGTAGCAGTGAAAGATAACGGACAGCCCTCTCTGTCTGCCACCTGTGCCATGTATTTACTAATTTCTGATAACTTGGCTGAGGTGCCAGAGCTGAAAGATATTTCTTATGATGACAAGAACTCCAAACTGACCTCGTATCTGATCATTGCGCTGGTGTGTGTGTCCACCTTCTTCCTGACCTTCATCATCATCGTCCTGGGTGTGAGGTTTTGTCGCAGGAGAAAGCCCAGACTGTTGTTTGATGGAGCAGTGGCCATTCCCGGAGCTTATCTCCCTCCTAATTACGCAGATGTTGATGGAACAGGAACTTTACGCAGCTCCTACAACTATGACGCCTACCTGACAACAGGATCTAGAACCAGTGACTTTAAGTTTGTGTCATCTTACAATGACAACACGCTGCCTGCTGACCAGACTCTGAAGAAAAGTCCCTCTGAGTTTGCTGGGATTTTCAATTCCCCTGATTCGTCTCCAGAGGTAGGCCTGATCCTTTTACATGCAATTCAATACAGACTCTTTTTTGATGTTGCCAAACCAACACGTTTTTTATTATTATTATTATGATTTGGAATGTTCTCACATGTTTCACGCTTCTGTAGATTAACTTTGCAGTTTTGTAAACATCATATATGCTCTAAGTATAATCGTTTTTTCATTACTGACCGACACTTTGGTGTAATTACTCTGCGTTTATTAATGTGCGCCATGGTCTTTTCATTGGTTTGTTTCGTTGTGCTTTATTGATGTATTTCGTTGACTTCCCATATTATGGGGACATAATCAACACTTTCAGCATTGTCGAGTGTAATAACAAATAACGTGCCTTTTTTTAACTTCTTACCTATATATTTTTTTCTCTGAAAAATCAGATGTAGTTTTACATATTTACAATATTTTTTTCGCCTCATTTGCATTTTAAAAACAGTTTTAAAATATTTCCCATCAGTCGGACTGATTTTGTGCTGAGTGTGATATTGTTAAGTTTGTATTATCTATACTCACTTCAGGGTTTGTTTTTTCCTACCTTCTCTTCATTATCAAATGATAAAAAACCACCACAGACATTAACTGATGCACATACTCATCTTTGTAGTGAACTTTATATATATATACGTGTGTGTGTGTGTTATTTATTTATTTTTCTGCGGTAATATTTTGAACATTTCAATTTTGAAAGTTGGTTCTTTGGTAGATGCGCTCTCCATGGTGCTGAATGTGTGTGTGTGTGTGTGTGTGTGTGTGTGTGTGTGTGTGTGTGTGTGTGTGTGTGTGTGTGTGTGTGTGTGTGTGTGTGTGTGTGCTCTGTCTTGATCCGCAGTGAGTCGTGGAGGATGGCTGCTCATACTGAGCCAGGATCCTCTGGCGGTTTCTTCCTGTTAAAAGGGAGTTCTCCTCTCCACTGTCGCTGCATGTTTGCCTAGAGGATTGCTGTAAAGTCACTGACACTAGTCAGCGACTTTTCTGGGTTCCTTATATAGGAAACTTTTTCTGAGAGTCTTTATGAATTGACCTGTATTGGAATGTTTATTATGTGAAGTGCCTTGAGACGACTCGTCGTGATTTGGCGCTATATAAATAAACTTGAATTGAACTGAATTGTATAGCAAAGCCTTTCAATGAATATTAAACCAATCATGATTAATTGCCTTAATCTTTACTAATAGCATCTGCATTATTATTATTATTATTATTATTATTATTATTATTATTATTATTATTATTATTATTATTATTATTGTTGTTTGTTATTATTATAAATACTTTTTCAAACCATTTTACCTAAACAGTTTTCAGTAAATTATTATTATTTTTGCACAGAGACTTAAGTCAGACATTTGTAATAATAAAAATTAACTCACAGAGTCGCTCTTTGCCTGCAGATGTCAAGAGGTTTAGTTCTCCACCCACTGCATAGAAAAAGACTTGGACTAAAATTGGGTGAGCCATTGTTGTCTCAGAGGCGTCGACCTTCTTTTATTTAAACGTGTCAGTTTTGTTTGGTGGATTTAAAAACGTATATCTAATTCTAAGCAGATCTAAAATAATGGGATACAAAAGACAGTCGCTGCTGGTTTTTATCTGCAGCGTTGCTCTTTGTGTCCAAATCGCCTCCGCGGACCTGAGCTATTCCGTTCCGGAGGAGAAGAGGCCCGGTTCCATTGTTGGAAATATTCCCAAAGACCTCGGACTGGGTGTGGGGACATTTATGTCTCGTAAAGCTCGGATTGACGCTGAGGATACCTATCAGCATTTCTGTGATCTTGATCTGAAGACGGGAAATTTTATCATCCGAGACAGGATCGACAGGGAGGAACTGTGCGGTGAGAAGGTTTTGTGCATGCTGAAATACGAATTAGTTCTAGAAAGCCCTTTGGAGGTGCACCGCGTGTCCCTGCTCATTCAAGATGTGAACGACAATTCGCCCGTTTTCCCCAAAGATTCGGTTAAATTAGAAATAACGGAGTCAGCTTTAAAAGGAGCGCGATATCGTGCCAATGAAGCGCATGACGCAGACATCGGACAAAACACAGTCAGGCAATACAGCCTAGAAAGGAATGAACATTTTATTTTAACTGTTAGAGATGATGCAGAAGGGTCCAAGAGTATCGAGTTAGTTTTAGACAAAGAATTGGATCGTGAGAAGGAGCATGAATTAAAATTCGCTCTGATTGCCGTTGATGGTGGAAATCCACAGAGATCGGGGACTGCTGTTATACACGTGACTGTTCTCGATGCTAATGACAACGCACCTGCGTTTGATCAAGCCATTCACAAAGCTAGTTTAGCCGAGAACTCACCTCTCGATACATTAGTTGTGACAGTAAGAGCTTCCGATGCAGATGAGGGCGTTAACGGGGAGGTGAGCTACGAATTCAGTCGCATTTCAGAGAAAGCAAAGAAAGTTTTCTCATTAAACAGTAAAACAGGAGAAATAAAAGTCACTGGAACTCTTGATTTTGAGACTAACTCTAAATATGAAATGCGTGTTGATGCTAAAGATGGTTATGGACTTTCATCTGATTCAAAAGTAGTTATTGATATTACAGATGTTAACGACAATGCTCCTGTTATTCATGTAAAATCTCTGATAAACCCAGTAACAGAGAACGCACCACCTGGTACAGAGGTGGGCATCATCAACGTGCAGGACAGAGACTCTGACATTAACGGGCAGGTCCGCTGCTCCATCCAGCAGAACGTTCCTTTTAAGTTGGTTCCTTCTATCAAAAACTATTATTCTCTGGTGACCACAGGACAGCTGGACCGTGAACTAGTGTCTGATTACAACATTACAATCAGTGCCACTGACGAGGGCTCTCCACCTCTGTCCTCCTCTAAAACGTTTCAGTTATCTGTAGCTGACATCAACGACAACCCACCTGTGTTTGAGGAGCGGTCCTACAGCGCTTATGTGAGTGAAAATAACAAACCTGGCTCCACTTTATGTTCCGTTAGTGCTCGAGACCCGGACTGGAGACAAAACGGTACCGTGGTTTATTCTCTGTTACCTGCTGAGGTGAACGGTGCGTCGGTGTCCTCCTATCTATCAGTTAACGGAGACACGGGGGTGATCCACGCTGTCAGGTCGTTTGATTATGAACAGCTGAGGAGTTTTAAAGTCCACGTGATGGCCAGAGACAACGGTTCTCCTCCTCTCAGCAGCAACATGACCGTGAGTGTGTTCGTATCAGATGTGAATGACAACTCTCCTCAGATACTGTACCCCGCCCCGGAGGGCAGCTCCTTCATGACCGAGCTGGTCCCCAAAGCTGCACACGGAGGCTCTCTGGTGTCCAAAGTGATAGCGGTGGACGCGGACTCTGGACAGAACGCCTGGCTGTCCTATCAGATAGTCAGATCCACTGATCCGGGACTTTTCACTATCGGTGTGCACAGCGGAGAGATCAGGACGCAGCGGGACATTTCTGAATCTGACAGCATGAAACAGAACCTGATTGTAGCAGTGAAAGATAACGGACAGCCCTCTCTGTCTGCCACCTGTGCCATGTATTTACTGATTTCTGATAACTTGGCTGAGGTGCCAGAGCTGAAAGATATTTCTTATGATGACAAGAACTCCAAACTGACCTCGTATCTGATCATTGCGCTGGTGTGTGTGTCCACCTTCTTCCTGACCTTCATCATCATCATCCTGGGTGTGAGATTTTGTCGCAGGAGAAAGCCCAGACTGTTGTTTGATGGAGCAGTGGCCATTCCCGGAGCTTATCTCCCTCCTAATTACGCAGATGTTGATGGAACAGGAACTTTACGCAGCTCCTACAACTATGACGCCTACCTGACAACAGGATCTAGAACCAGTGACTTTAAGTTTGTGTCATCTTACAATGACAACACGCTGCCTGCTGACCAGACCCTGAAGAAAAGTCCCTCTGAGTTTGCTGATGTGTTTGGAGACTCTGATTCTTCCCCTGAGGTAAGCATTCTTGTTTTACCGTTCCCCAGTGTTTGATCAGTTTTTTTTCTTCAAATAATTATTTACATTTTGTTGTTTGATGTTTTGTAAATGTACACAAATAACTAATACAAATTCTAATAAGTGGCATTTTACTTGTATCCATCCACATGCTCCACAAATTATTTTGAATTTCGTAAAATTCCTCAAATTGTTTTAAAACCATCCCTACCCAAACTTTTAGTTGTCACAGTTTAATCCTTTGAGTAGTTACAGCAGATCAACATATGTTATTTATTCAAAATCCCAACAGTAATCATTTTTACTTTTAAATCAAACACCAGTATATACGTAGTTAAAAATAGCAAAGTTTTTCGACATGTGTGTTGCTGTCAGTCTCGGTTACAGTAGCGTACCTGAAGAAAGAGTGTGTCTCAGTCATTAAATGAACACCACAACATGTTTTTTTTTGCCTCACAGCTGTTTTAATTTTTACAGTCTTACCAGTCATTTTAATGCCAAACTAATACGTCATGAAGAGATGTGTCTTTCTGTTTTTATCTTTCCACTATGTGTGTGAAATTGTTACAAGCTAAATCCTTTCTGCCCAGTTAGTTCCTGCTTACCACTATTTAAATATTTCATGATTACAGCTTTTTTATTTTACTGTTTAAACTGAGGGTTAATACTGATACAAATAAAACATTTAATTTTACCTCGAAATTGAGACTTATTCATTATTTACAATATTAACTCAAATTTGAGTGCAGTGGGATGGTGTGTGTGTGTGTGTGTGTGTGTGTGTGTGTGTGTGTGTGTGTGTGTGTGTGTGTGTGTGTGTGTGTGTGTGTGTGTGTGTGTGTGTGTGTGTGTGTGTGTGTGTGTGTGTGTGTGTGTGTGTGTGTGTGTGTGTGTAAGTAAGTAAGTAGTAAGTAAGTAAGTAAGTAAGTAAGTACGTTTATTATGTTATTAACCATTTCATAAGTTTAATGCTGGTACCTGTGTTTTCGCCCGTGAGTGTTTGTTTTATTCTTGATTATTTTGGACAGAGATTTGGATGCAGTTCACATCAAATATCTTACAAATACAAAGTTTAACTTTATATTCATGTTTCCTTGTTGTTTGCTGAGTTTGTGCTGGTGTCACGGAGTGTACTGAGGCAATTAAACTTTGAATGTTCTAATGTGTTGCTGTGGTTAGCTGGTCAATTACTTTCAGTAAAGGATCAGTGGTGACACAGCTGTCACCACCCATTTCAGGGTGCTGAAAAAATGCTAATTGTTTATGGATTAATTGTCAGTAATTTTTGAAACTGTTCACAAAAACTGGAGTAGGATTTATGTGCATGTTGTGACTTTTAATTATTGTACTCAGTCATCAAATGACACTTTACACACAACAAGGCTTGAAAAAGATGTAATTATCATAAGACTGCATATCCTTCCTAACTATGAATATACCATATACCATATACTTATTATTATAGTTAGTGCATAGTGACACAGTGAAAACCCTGTTGGTGTTCTATTTTTGTTTGTACTGCACTGCTATATTCCATAATGACTCGTGGTGTCACTGTAGACCAATGATGGGAGACGTCTTCACTCCTGCCTTTGTTTTTCACCATTGGCATCATTGTGTTCCTGTCTGTCTCTCGGTTAAGGACGCCATAGAACGCCACGCTTGGAAGTATACTGCTAAATAATTATTCTCAATAGAATCACCATGTTAAGAAATGAGAGGAAGGCATTACCAACTACGAGGAATACAATCAATGGAAGAATTGCTTTAATTCTCCTCTGCGTTTGGCACTTCACCGCTCTTCATTTTGCGCACGGAGACGTGAGTTACACCATCGCCGAGGAGATGAAACGCGGTTCCGTTATAGGGAATATCGGCAAAGATCTTGGTCTCCAGATTTCTGACCTGGCCTCGCGTAAAGCCCGCATTGACACGGACACGAATGATAAAAGGTACTGTGATATTAATCTGGGTAGCGGGGATTTAATTGTTACTGACAGGATCGACCGCGAGAGCCTTTGTGCCAAAAAGGCGGCCTGTCCTTTAAAGATGGAACTCATTCTGGAAAACCCTTTAGAGCTTCAACGTGTCACTGTTCATGTGCAAGATGTAAACGACAACGCTCCGGAATTTAGTGACGACGTGATTTCATTTGAAATAAGCGAATCGGCAGTCAAAGGAGCAAAATTCCTACTGGCCGAGGCCCGAGACGCGGACATCGGTCAGAACGCAGTTCAAAGCTACAAATTGCAGAATAATAAGCATTTCAGCATTAATGTAAACACAGAGGTTAGTGGCAGGAAATATTCTGAGCTCGTTTTGGTGAGAGAATTAGATCGAGAGGAAGAGAGAGAAATCAAATTAGTTCTAACAGCTCTGGACGGCGGTGCGCCACAGAGATCAGGCACAGCTGTAGTCCACGTCGCTGTGCTGGATGCTAATGATAACGCCCCAGTGTTCAGTCAGGAGGTTTATAAAGCCAGTCTGCCTGAAAACTCTCCTTTAGACACTCTGGTGGTTAGAGTCAGCGCAACAGATGCAGACGAGGGACCGAATGGAGAGGTTATTTATACTTTTGACCACATGTCAGATGATCACGTGTCTCATTTCACACTTGATGATAAAACAGGAGAGATCAAAGTTATTGGTCCTATTGATTATGAAGCAGGAAATTCGATTGAACTGAGAGTGAGAGCAAAGGATGGGCCAGGTCTCACCTCATATTGTTCAGTAAATATAGAAATAACGGATGTTAATGATAATCCACCTGTTATCAGTTTAAAGTCCCTGTCCAACCCGATACCTGAGAACGCACCACCTGGTACAGAGGTGGGCATCATCAACGTGCAGGACAGAGACTCTGAGAAGAACCGACAGGTCCGCTGCTCCATCCAGCAGAACCTTCCTTTTAAGTTGGTTCCTTCTATTAAAAACTATTATTCTCTGGTGACCACAGGACAGCTGGACCGTGAACTAGTGTCTGATTACAACATTACAATCAGTGCCACTGACGAGGGCTCTCCACCTCTGTCCTCCTCTAAAACTGTTCAGTTATCTGTAGCTGACATCAACGACAACCCACCTGTGTTTGAGGAGCAGTCCTACAGCGCTTATGTGAGTGAAAATAACAAACCTGGCTCCACTTTATGTTCCGTTAGTGCTCGAGACCCGGACTGGAGACAAAACGGTACCGTGATTTATTCTCTGTTACCTGCTGAGGTGAACGGCGCATCGGTGTCCTCCTATCTATCAGTTAACGGAGACACGGGGGTGATCCACGCTGTCAGGTCGTTTGATTATGAACAGCTGAGGAGTTTTAAAGTCCACGTGATGGCCAGAGACAACGGTTCTCCTCCTCTCAGCAGCAACGTGACCGTGAGTGTGTTCGTATCAGATGTGAATGACAACTCTCCTCAGATACTGTACCCCGCCCCGGAGGGCAGCTCCTTCATGACCGAGCTGGTCCCCAAAGCTGCACACGGAGGCTCTCTGGTGTCCAAAGTGATAGCGGTGGACGCGGACTCTGGACAGAACGCCTGGCTGTCCTATCAGATAGTCAGATCCACTGATCCGGGACTTTTCACTATCGGTGTGCACAGCGGAGAGATCAGGACGCAGCGGGACATTTCTGAATCTGACAGCATGAAACAGAACCTGATTGTAGCAGTGAAAGATAACGGACAGCCCTCTCTGTCTGCCACCTGTGCCATGTATTTACTGATTTCTGATAACTTGGCTGAGGTGCCAGAGCTGAAAGATATTTCTTATGATGACAAGAACTCCAAACTGACCTCGTATCTGATCATTGCGCTGGTGTGTGTGTCCACCTTCTTCCTGACCTTCATCATCATCGTCCTGGGTGTGAGGTTTTGTCGCAGGAGAAAGCCCAGACTGTTGTTTGATGGAGCAGTGGCCATTCCCGGAGCTTATCTCCCTCCTAATTACGCAGATGTTGATGGAACAGGAACTTTACGCAGCTCCTACAACTATGACGCCTACCTGACAACAGGATCTAGAACCAGTGACTTTAAGTTTGTGTCATCTTACAATGACAACACGCTGCCTGCTGACCAGACTCTGAAGAAAAGTCCCTCTGAGTTTGCTGATGTGTTTGGAGACTCTGATTCTTCCCCAGAGGTAGGAATTCAGCTTTTGCCAAACATGCTATTGAAGAAGCTGTGTGTGTGTGTGGGGGGGGGGGAAGTGTGTTTGAGAGAGAGAGAGAGAGAGAGAGAGAGAGAGAGAGAGAGAGAGAGAGAGAGAGAGAGAGAGAGAGAGAGAGAGAGAGAGAGAGAGAGAGAGAGAGAGAGAGAGAGAGAGAGAGAGAGAGAGAGAGATGTCCTTGTTCAACATCAGTCTCATTGAATTGTGGGCTCATATTTTCACTGATTTTCCAGTTCTCAACCCACCAAACACCAAACGTTGAAGTTCAAGGGTTTTGCTTTTGCTTGTTTTACTGTTTAATTTAGTCTGCAGACAGTTTTTTGTCGCTTGTTTACTAAAAAAAGTGTTTATTTTGGGTGAACGTCTCTCTCCATGGTGCTGAATCATTCCACTTTAAGTTGTAATGCTCTTTTTAAGTGGCATCACTGCACATTTTGAACAATAAGTCATTATTATTTGAACGAATAATTTTGTATAATTTGAAACTAATTGTTTTCTTGCACTGAAAATTGAAAATTTCAGACTTTCTAACACAATGAATATATTTACTCTAAATTAGGACGTGAATCCCACTTATTTTAGAAAAAAATCAAGTTACAGTTTTTTAACATTGGGGGATTGTAAAATCACAAATCAAACTATTTTGATTAAGTTCTTGTTTAGCGTGTCATGCCTCGGAAACGACTCAAGAGGTCAGTAAGAGCTAATACACGAGAACCTTCCGTCCCACGTTTTTACGTCAGCATAATTATTTGCAGCTCTGATCGACATTGAACAAAAGCTCCCAAAAGCAGCAACTCCACATTTAGACTCTACTCAACATTCGAGGACTATATGATTTTTTTTCAACTTCTATTTCTGCCAATGTTGCAATATTTGCGTTTAATTTTCATTCAGTAATGGAATACATTATATTTCTTCATTTTTCTTTATATTTTTCCTGTGTTCTTCGTGTTGTAAATGGAGACGTGACCTACAATATTCCAGAGGAAATGAAACGAGGATCCTTGATTGGAAATGTCGCTAAAGACCTAGGTCTGGATATAAGCAAACTAACCGCCCGCAACGCACGCATTGATCCGGAGGAAAATATCACTCCGCATTGTGGAATAAACCTCCAAACGGGAGAACTGACTGTACTCGAGAGGATCGACCGGGAAAGTCTTTGTGGAAAAAAAGCGTCTTGCGTTTTAATACAGGAGCTAGTGCTCGAAAATCCTTTAGAGCTGCACCGGGTTAATATACGGGTACAAGATATCAATGATAACTCGCCCCAATTTAACGAGGATTTGCTGAAAATTGAAATACACGAATCAGCAGTCAAAGGCGCTCGCTTCTCCTTGGATGAGGCGCATGATGAAGACATAGGGGAAAATGCAGTTCAGAGGTACGCCATTGAGCAAAACGATCATTTCAAGTTAAATGTAAACACAAAAGGTGTTGGGGGCAAATATTGTGAGCTAGTTTTAGATAAAGAATTAGACAGAGAAGACAAAAGCGAGCATGTGCTGCAGCTCACAGCGTTTGATGGCGGATCTCCACAGAGATTAGGCACAGCAGTGATACATGTAAAGGTACTGGATGCTAATGATAACGTACCTGTGTTTACTCAGAATATTTACAAAGCAAGTTTGCCTGAAAATGCTGCACTGGATACATTAATCATAACAGTTAGCGCTAATGATGCAGATAGTGGGCAGTACGGTGAAGTCACTTATGGTTTTAATAGATTATCTGGTCAAAAAAGCAACATGTTCTCTTTACACCCGAAAACTGGTGAGGTGAGAGTAGTTGGAGCTATTGATTTTGAGAAAGAATCACTGCATGAAATGCAAATTAGCGCTAAAGACGGTCTGGGATTGGCCTCTTATGCAAATTTAATTATTGAGATAATAGATGTAAATGACAACGCCCCTGTCATACATCTAAAGTCACTGTCCAACCCGGTGCCCGAGAACGCACCACCTGGTACAGAGGTGGGCATCATCAATGTGCAGGACAGAGACTCTGAGAAGAACCGACAGGTCCGCTGCTCCATCCAGCAGAACGTTCCTTTTAAATTGGTTCCTTCTGTCAAAAACTATTATTCTCTGATGACCACAGGACAGCTGGACCGTGAACTAGTGTCTGATTACAACATTACAATCAGTGCCACTGACGAGGGCTCTCCACCTCTGTCCTCCTCTAAAACTGTTCGGTTATCTGTAGCTGACATCAACGACAACCCACCTGTGTTTGAGGAGCAGTCCTACAGCGCTTATGTGAGTGAAAATAACAAACCTGGCTCCACTTTATGTTCCGTTAGTGCTCGAGACCCGGACTGGAGACAAAACGGTACCGTGATTTATTCTCTGTTACCTGCTGAGGTTAACGGCGCGTCGGTGTCCTCCTATCTATCAGTTAACGGAGACACGGGGGTGATCCACGCTGTCAGGTCGTTTGATTATGAACAGCTGAGGAGTTTTAAAGTTCACGTGATGGCCAGAGACAACGGTTCTCCTCCTCTCAGCAGCAACGTGACCGTGAGTGTGTTCGTATCAGATGTGAATGACAACTCTCCTCAGATACTGTACCCCGCCCCGGAGGGCAGCTCCTTCATGACCGAGCTGGTCCCCAAAGCTGCACACGGAGGCTCTCTGGTGTCCAAAGTGATAGCGGTGGACGCGGACTCTGGACAGAACGCCTGGCTGTCCTATCAGATAGTCAGATCCACTGATCCGGGACTTTTCACTATCGGTGTGCACAGCGGAGAGATCAGGACGCAGCGGGACATTTCTGAATCTGACAGCATGAAACAGAACCTGATTGTAGCAGTGAAAGATAACGGACAGCCCTCTCTGTCTGCCACCTGTGCCATGTATTTACTGATTTCTGATAACTTGGCTGAGGTGCCAGAGCTGAAAGATATTTCTTATGATGACAAGAACTCCAAACTGACCTCGTATCTGATCATTGCGCTGGTGTGTGTGTCCACCTTCTTCCTGACCTTCATCATCATCATCCTGGGTGTGAGGTTTTGTCGCAGGAGAAAGCCCAGACTGTTGTTTGATGGAGCAGTGGCCATTCCCGGAGCTTATCTCCCTCCTAATTACGCAGATGTTGATGGAACAGGAACTTTACGCAGCTCCTACAACTATGACGCCTACCTGACAACAGGATCTAGAACCAGTGACTTTAAGTTTGTGTCATCTTACAATGACAACACGCTGCCTGCTGACCAGACTCTGAAGAAAAGTCCCTCTGAGTTTGTTGATGTGTTTGGAGACTCTGATTCTTCTCCAGAGGTAGGGTGACCTAATTCCATTTTGTTTGGAATTGAAATATTTTTTTTAACATTTTGATGAGCAACTTTAGAAAACATAAAAATCACATTACAGTTTTACTATCTCTACATAATTAAATATATTTTAAACGTTTTACATTAACTTCATTTAGTTTTCACAATCATTCGGGTATTTTTGTTTTGTTTTTGTTTTTATGTTTTTTTCATGAACATATCCATCTTTTGATCTTTCTTATTCAAACTGGAGTCTGGAAAAAAAAAGTGCTTAATCCTACAACGTTTTTACACCAGGGAAGAGTTTTCCAAGTGAATTTACCAAAAGTCAGTAAGACTCACTTAAGAGACCGTTCCTGATCCCGAAGCATGGGAGGATGCGCTCCGTGTGCACCAACTCTCCACCAGTATGTGACCACGCACTTCAAAGCGCATGCATGACTGTTATAAGCAGGCACGTGCAGGGGGGGGGGGGGGTGCTTGAGACCCTGCCCCTTTTGGCCGAAGTGCTCAAAGTGCCCTTTTTCCGGTCGTTCGTCAGATTTTACCGTACAAAACTGTTATACTGTGATACAAATCGGGCACTAGGACCATGCGGAGGCAGCCGCCTCAAGCTGAAGGCTATTTTCCCGTTGACCCGCCTACAAGCTCACTGATTGGCTCTGCCGCATCATACTAACGTGTGATTGGTTGTCCTTGCTGTTGCTCTACCTTGTAGCCATGGAGACGACAGACCAGGTTTTCCCTGCGGACAGGAGTCTGCGTTCATCTACCTGTAAGTTTTTTTTCTGCCTGCTTTACGTCAGCTGGATAGATTTTAATATCAGAGCTTTTGTTTATGTGGTTAGTGTGTGTGGAGCAGAGTCAGGTAGCTGCATGTCTGGGACAGAAAATGAGACATGAGAGAGACTTCTCCTGAAGAGTTGCAGAAACTCTCAAAGAATCACAGATGTTTCTCACTCTAGATTCTCCGGGTCATAACTTCTGACTTACTAATCGAATAAAAATAATTCAAACGGTTCCTAAAAGTACATAAAACGAGCTTTCCAACGAGGTATCACATGATGTAATTCACGTTACTTCAAAAATCGCTATTAGATGGAAACCAGCTTTGCAGCGTCACTGAAAGAAACGGACGAACCGCAATGGGAGAGCAGAGAACCGAAAGGAGGAGATGATCTGATCATCTTCATCAGCAGCTTTTATAGAGTTATGGAAACGTCACAAATAAAATCCACCTGGTTGGTCAGGTGTCCCAGAAGGCTGTTTCTGTAGATGGTGACATGAGGAGGGACAGTTTAAAGTCACACTGGTTTTTATTTGAACACTCAACTGTTTACTAAATGATTTAGCTTCATTCCAGCATTATTTATATGTACAATAAATATTTATTTAGCTGAAAATATGATTTTATCAGTGCAGAATTTTATTAGTTGACTTTTTTGTAATGAAATGTTTACATTTAACCTTTTATCTGCTTATTGATCTTCATAATGCTGGTAGAAATGTAGCTACAGCTGTGAAGTAGCCCATGAGTGTTATTTGATGATACCTAGTATTTATTTTACTGTATCCCGTTCTCTGGACCAGAGCGTAGACCTGTGGTCACAGACAGGCTGCAGTCATTAAACTGGTTAACATGAGGTCAGGGGTCACACTGTTTTCTGAGTGTTTGCAACACAGTTCTGAGTTTAAATAACGGTAGGTCTTTTGACATAGTTTGCTCAAGTCATTTTGAAGTTCCTGTTTAGTAATAAATGTAAAGAAAATTCAAATCTGTTTTTTTTTCATTTAAGCTGCAGTTTTACAAACTTTAATAAACATAAACACTAAATACAAACCAGACACTGAAAGCTGAGGTTGTTCTGAAAAAAGGAGCAGAGTTACAAACATTTTAGACTTTTATTACAATTTTAAAGCCATAAAACAAAAGAAAATACCTGTTGTATTTATGGTCATAAGAGGGTTAAACATGATACATTTTCTGCCTCCCACAAAGAGATGGTAAAAGTGAATGTGAGCATAATTATATACGTTTTAGTACTTTATTATGTATTTTTTATTATTGACTATTACTCCATAGAGTTCAGATGAAGGCAACTGGACTTCTTTGGTTTCTTTAAAACATTTCACTTCTCCTCTGAGGAGCTTTGTCAATTCTAACTGGAATATGGGAGAGTCAAGCTCATAAGCTGTAGCTGTCTGTTGTTATTTAAAGAGCAGAAACTACTCTGAGTACCCCGCCTCTCCATCTCCTGATGAGTCGTTAGCCTCTATTGGTGGTGAGTCATCGTGTTGATTAGATGCAGGAAGGTGTGACCTAGACTGAAACTGAATGAGATTAAAAAAAAAGTTCTAATCTTTTAAACAACGCTGTTGGTCCTCTTGGTCCTTGTTCTGGTTTTCTAAAAGCCTGTGTTAAAAACCTTGGTGTGTTTTTAGACGGTTCTTGTAATCTTTACAGACAGGTGAGTGCAGTGGTCCAATCAGGTGTTTATCATTTAAGGCAGATAGCAAAGGTGAAGCCATACCTTCCTGCTAATGTCCTCGAACATGTCATCCACCTGTTCGTGTCTTGCCGATTGGACTACTGCAACTTCCTGTATTCTGGCCTGGACCAGTCCTCCCCACACCGACTTCAGCTGGTCCAAAATGCAGCGGCTCGCTTGCTGACTGGAACCAGCAAGTGGGATCTCATAACCCCGGTTCTGGCCTCTCTCCATTGGCTTCCTTTCTCTTACAGGATCCGTTTCAAAATTTTACTTTTTGTTTTTAAATCCCTTCATGGCCTGTCCCCAGTTTACATCTCTGAGCTGCTGTCTGCTTACGTCCCTGCCAGAACCATGAGGTCCAGCTCTCAAGCTCTTTTAACAGTTCCAAAAACCCGCCACAAGACTCGCGGCGACAGAGCGTTCTCTGTGGTTGGGCCCAAACTGTGGAACAAGCTACCTCTCAACATCAGGACCACACAGAATCTAGAGCATTTTAAATCCCTTCTTAAGACGCAATTTTTTGATTTGGCTTTTAATGCAGGCTGACTTGAGCATCTTAATAGTTTTTAACAGTTTTTATCATAGATTGTGACTGTTGTGTGCTCATCTTATTTTTATTGTTGATTTGTTGTATCTTGATTTGTTTTACCTTGTACAGCGCTTTGCTGCTGTAAATGCGCTCTGTAAGTAAAATTGACCTTGACCTTGACCAAAGCTGCATTATTGGTACTGGAATGGTGAAATCTAAGCCCCGCCCCTATTTAAAGTGGGGTTTTCATGTTTTGACATAGATAGCTTCTTTTACTCCTCTCTCAAATCATCTATCTTCTCTGTCCAGAATGTGGACTTTGTCATCTTCAAAGGTGTGTCCCTTGTCCTTCAGGTGAAGGTGGACTGCAGAGTTTTGACCTGAAGAGGTGGCTCTCCTGTGTTGTGTTATGTTCTTGTGTAATTGTTGTTTAGTTTCTCTAAGGTAAACATCTGGACAGTGCTCCTACACTGGACTGCATAAACGACCCCACTGAGCTTCTGTTTGGGTGTTTTGTCTTCTGGATGGACCAGGTTCTGTCCGAGGGTGTTGTTGGGTTTAAAGTTTACCAGGATGCTGTGTTTGGAGAAGATTCTTCTAAGTTTCTCTGAGACTCCTGCCACGTATGTGATGATGATGCCTTTGTGTAAAGGGTGTTGTTGTTAGGTTGGTAGCAGAGCTCTCATGTTTAGTGTTAAGTTCAGTGAGATCACGGAATGGAATCAAGAATTTTCTACTGACAGGAAAAATATCTCAGCTAACATAGCTGTAAATCACAATGGATAACTCTCTGTGGTGCATTTATTTTACATTTATTTTACTACCTCTTACTAGAGCTGTCTTTAGTAAGCACAAAATATCTTTGGTTGTACACCTGTGCAATAGCAATAAATGATCTTGATTTCTGTTAAATGTACTTCCTGAATGAGTGACCTTTTCAGGCTAAAATAACAAAATGACAAATACAGACAAAAGGACGACTTATTTCTTCTTTTATAATGCGTTGCATCACCACCTGGTATCAGAACAGGACTCAGTATTGGAAGATAATCAAAAATCAAACAACTTGGACTCGGATCAGGGGCAAAAATGTGGTTGTAACATCTCTAGATATAAGTCAGCTTTAAAAACTAAAACTATTATTTATGAACTAACATTAACACTAATGACACAAATTTATATATTTTTATTATGTTGTTTGAACCCAAGGGTCTCATTATCTGAATTTTCTAACTTATCTGATTGCTCTATAAGTGCCCCCCTTTTTTTTTTACTTTGAGCACCCGCCCCGTCAAAGGTCTCTGCACGACCCTGAAGAACTATCGTGTTCATCATCAGAGATGATTCAAAGATGTTCTGATTGAATCTGTTTTGATTTTTTACCCCTTCGCAAAGTGATTTGTGCGTGAAGTTGAAAATGTCTCGCGCCTGCGTTAGTAAGTTGTGATGCCATAGAAAGTGGCTTATTTTGTGGCACCGTCATTTTTTTCTGCTCCTTCTGAGTAGTAAACTGTTTAAATAATCAATTTAGAAAAACAAACTAATTAACAGATTTTTGATCTTTGTAAAATAAAAAATATTACGAGATTGAGGTTGTTGGTCAGTTTGAACATTTAGTGGTTTAATCTTTCTTGATCAGAACTTTAAAGTTTTGATAAAGCTGACGCCGAATTGCATGTCTGAGTGACTGAATCGAGACAGATCTTAAAATAACCTTTTATGTATTTATTTAATATTATACACGTTGCATCAGTTTTTTAACGATATTTAATAGAGTTTTGATCTCTGCTGTACAATTCTTTGTCATCTGATAAACCTCAGCAGTTTAAAACTGACAGAAATGCATGCACACGCACATATTATTTTGTATCATATTGCACAATATAATATCTTCAGCATTTACCTGCTGGTTGTGTAACTGATTTAATGATTAAGAAGATTAATAATTAATTGATTGCATGGATTCATTGATGACTGCATGGGAATACAGATTGACAGCAAATCTTCATTTAACTTAAATTCGTTACAAACTGTCATGGGAGTGTAACGATGGCAAAAGGCACGATAACACAAAATACAAAAACCCTTAATAAATAAAAAGCATAAATATTAATAATTCGCGTGTAACTTTCATATTTAATACATTGGTGTTTATGTTCAACGTTAAATAAAGATTATGGCCTATCATTTAAGCGGAACGTATCTATTAAAGATGCTTACTAAGTCTAACCCAGCGCCATACCGACATTAATACTCATGGTGTCAGTGTGTACCAATAAACCAAAAGTCATGCTCGTGCCCCCCTTTTGCGTCATCGATTGTACCCTCATTCCTCCTTTAGTCGGCACTGACAAAGCGCTGCATGAAGGCTGTAGGATTGGTTTAGGCTTTAATGAAAAAATAACAAGGATCTCAGGTTGAATATTTAGACTGAAATAGTATTAAAATCTGGATTTTCTGATTTATGGAACGATGGCCTCAGCTTTTTCGCTGCACCTCGTCCTTGCTTGTCTTTTTCTTTCCCTCCCTCTGGTCAAAGGAGACGTGAGCTACTCGATTCTGGAGGAGTTGAAACGCGGATCTGTGATCGGAAATATTGCTAACGATTTGGGTCTGGACCTGCGCATGCTGTCTGCTCGGAAGGCGCGGATCGACACAGAACACAATGATGTTAAGTACTGCGGAGTGAATTACAACACTGGAGAGCTGATTGTACAAGAGAGGATCGACAGGGAGGGTCTTTGTTCAAAGAAAGTATCGTGCGTAATGAAGCAGGAGCTGGTTTTGGAAAATCCGCTGGAGATCCATCGCGTTAATATTCGCGTTCAGGACATTAATGATAATTATCCACAGTTTAAGGAGGGATCACTGAAATTAGAAATTCAGGAATCAGCAGCGAAAGGTGCGACGTTCCTCCTTGATGAAGCGCACGATGCAGACGTCGGAGATAATGCTGTGCAGGACTACTCGCTCCAACAGAATGATTATTTCAAATTAAATGTGAAATCAAAAGGTGCTGGACGGAAATACAGTGAGTTGGTGCTCGAGAAGGAGCTAGACCGAGAGGAGAAAAAAGAAGTCATTTTGTTGCTGACAGCTTTAGATGGAGGATCTCCTCAGAGATCAGGTACAGTAGTCATACACGTCACTGTGCTGGATGCTAATGATAACGCCCCAGTGTTCAGTCAGGCTGTTTATAAAGCCAGTCTGCCTGAAAACTCTCCTTTAGACACAGTTGTTCTTACAGTAACTGCTGCTGATGTTGATGAGGGAGTGAATGGAGAAGTTATTTACGGGTTTGATCACGTTTCTGATGAAAATCAGATGTTTTCTTTACATCCAAAAACAGGTGAAGTTAAGGTAGCGGGAGCTATTGATTATGAAAAAGAATCAAAATATGAAATGCAGATCAGCGCTAAAGATGGCCTAGGGTTGGCGTCTCATGCAAGTGTTTTAGTTGAAATAATAGATGTAAATGACAACGTCCCTGTCATATATCTAAAGTCCCTGTCCAACCCGGTACCTGAGAACGCACCACCTGGTACAGAGGTGGGCATCATCAACGTGCAGGACAGAGACTCTGAGAAGAACCGACAGGTCCGCTGCTCCATCCAGCAGAACGTTCCTTTTAAGTTGGTTCCTTCTATTAAAAACTATTATTCTCTGGTGACCACAGGACAGCTGGACCGTGAACTAGTGTCTGATTACAACATTACAATCAGTGCCACTGACGAGGGCTCTCCACCTCTGTCCTCCTCTAAAACTGTTCAGTTATCTGTAGCTGACATCAACGACAACCCACCTGTGTTTGAGGAGCAGTCCTACAGCGCTTATGTGAGTGAAAATAACAAACCTGGCTCCACTTTATGTTCCGTTAGTGCTCGAGACCCGGACTGGAGACAAAACGGTACCGTGATTTATTCTCTGTTACCTGCTGAGGTGAACGGTGCGTCAGTGTCCTCCTATCTATCAGTTAACGGAGACACGGGGGTGATCCACGCTGTCAGGTCGTTTGATTATGAACAGCTGAGGAGTTTTAAAGTCCACGTGATGGCCAGAGACAACGGTTCTCCTCCTCTCAGCAGCAACGTGACCGTGAGTGTGTTCGTATCAGATGTGAATGACAACTCTCCTCAGATACTGTACCCCGCCCCGGAGGGCAGCTCCTTCATGACCGAGCTGGTCCCCAAAGCTGCACACGGAGGCTCTCTGGTGTCCAAAGTGATAGCGGTGGACGCGGACTCTGGACAGAACGCCTGGCTGTCCTATCAGATAGTCAGATCCACTGATCCGGGACTTTTCACTATCGGTGTGCACAGCGGAGAGATCAGGACGCAGCGGGACATTTCTGAATCTGACAGCATGAAACAGAACCTGATTGTAGCAGTGAAAGATAACGGACAGCCCTCTCTGTCTGCCACCTGTGCCATGTATTTACTGATTTCTGATAACTTGGCTGAGGTGCCAGAGCTGAAAGATATTTCTTATGATGACAAGAACTCCAAACTGACCTCGTATCTGATCATTGCGCTGGTGTGTGTGTCCACCTTCTTCCTGACCTTCAGCATCATCGTCCTGGGTGTGAGGTTTTGTCGCAGGAGAAAGCCCAGACTGTTGTTTGATGGAGCAGTGGCCATTCCCGGAGCTTATCTCCCTCCTAATTACGCAGATGTTGATGGAACAGGAACTTTACGCAGCTCCTACAACTATGACGCCTACCTGACAACAGGATCTAGAACCAGTGACTTTAAGTTTGTGTCATCTTACAATGACAACACGCTGCCTGCTGACCAGACTCTGAAGAAAAGTCCCTCTGAGTTTGCTGATGTGTTTGGAAGTTGTGATTCTTCTCCAGAGGTAGGGCGACCTAATTCCATTTTGTTTTAAATTGTGAAATCTTTTTTCTTAACCCTTTGATGAGCAACATTAGAAAATATAAAATTCACATTACAGTTTTACTATCTCTACATAATTAAATATATTTTAAAAGTTTTACATGAGTTTATTTAGTTTTTACAATCTTTCGTTTTTTATGTTTTTTCATGAACATATCCATCTTTTGACCTTTCTTATTCAAACTGGAGCCTGGAAAAAAAGTGTTTAATCCTACAACGTTTTGACACCAGGGAAGAGTTTTCCGAGTGAATTTACCAAAAGTCAGTAAGACTCACTTAAGAGACGGTTCCTGATCCCGAAGCATTCGCTTCATTGGGAGGATACGTTCGTGTGCACCAACTCTCCACCAGTATGTGACCACGTGCTTCAAAGCGCATGCATGACTGTTATAAGCACTGTCGTGTTCATCATCAGAGATTCAAAGATGTTCTGATTGAATCTGTTTTGATTTTTTACACCTTCGCAAAGTGATTTGTGCGTAAAGTTGGAAATTTCGCGCGCCTGCGTTAGTAAGTTTTGATGCCATAGAACGTGGCTTATTTTTTGGCCCCGTCATTTTTTTCTACTCCTTCTGAGTAGTAAAATGTTTAAATAATCAGTTTAGAAAAACAAACTAATTAACAGATGTTTGATCTTTGTAAAATAAAAATATTACGAGATTGAGGTTGTTGGTCAGTTTAAACATTTAGTGGTTTAATCTTTCTTGATCAGAACTTTAAAGTTTTGATAAAGCTGACGTCGAATTGCATGTCTGAGTGACTGAATCGAGACAGATCTTAAAATAACGATTTATGTATTTATTTAATATTATACACGTTGCATCAGTTTTTTTAATGATTTTTAATAGATTTTTGATTTCTGGTGTACAATTCTTTGTCATCTGATAAACCTCAGCAGTTTAAAACTGACAGAAATGCATGCACACGCACATATTATTTTGTATCATATTGCACAATATAATATCTTCAGCATTTACCTGCTGGTTGTGTAACTGATTTAATGATTAAGAAGATTAATGATTAATTGATTGCATGGATTCATTGATGACTGCATGGGAATACAGATTGACAGCAAATCTTCATTTAACTTAAATTCGTTACAAACTGTCATGGGAGTGTAACGATGGCAAAAGGCACGATAACACAAAATACAAAAACCCTTAATAAATAAAAAGCATAAATATTAATAATTCACGTGTAACTTTCATATTTAATACATTGGTGTTTATGTTCAACGTTAAAAAAAAGATTATGGCCTATCATTTAAGCGGAACGTATCTATTAAAGATGCTTACTAAGTCTAACCCAGCGCCATACCGACATTAATACTCATGGTGTCAGTGTGTACCAATAAACCAAAAGTCATGCTCCTGCCCCCCTTTTGCGTCATCGATTGTACCCTCATTCCTCCTTTAGTCGGCACTGACAAAGCGCTGCATGAAGGCTGTAGGATTGGTTTAGGCTTTAATGAAAAAATAACAAGGATCTCAGGTTGAATATTTAAACTGAAATAGTATTAAAATCTGGATTTTCTGATTTATGGAACGATGGCCTCAGCTTTTTCGCTGCACCTCGTCCTTGCTTGTCTTTTTCTTTCCCTCCCTCTGGTCAAAGGAGACGTGAGCTACTCGATTCTGGAGGAGTTGAAACGCGGATCTGTGATCGGAAATATTGCTAACGATTTGGGTCTGGACCTGCGCATGCTGTCTGCTCGGAAGGCGCGGATCGACACAGAACACGATGATGTTAAGTACTGCGGAGTGAATTACAACACTGGAGAGCTGATTGTACAAGAGAGGATCGACAGGGAGGGCCTTTGTTCAAAGAAAGTACCGTGCGTAATGAAGCAGGAGCTGGTTTTGGAAAATCCGCTGGAGATCCATCGCGTTAATATTCACGTTCAGGACATTAATGATAATTCTCCACAGTTTAAGGAGGGATCACTGAAACTAGAAATTAGGGAATCAGCAGCGAAAGGTGCGACGTTCCTCCTTGATGAAGCGCACGATGCAGACGTCGGAGATAATGCTGTGCAGGGCTACTCGCTCCAACAGAATGATTGTTTCAAATTAAATGTGAAATCAAAAGGTGCTGGACGGAAATACAGTGAGTTGGTGCTTGAGAAGGAGCTAGACCGAGAGGAGAAAAAAGAAGTCATTTTGTTGCTGACAGCTTTAGATGGAGGATCTCCTCAGAGATCAGGTACAGTAGTCATACACGTCACTGTGCTGGATGCTAATGATAACGCCCCAGTGTTCAGTCAGGCTGTTTATAAAGCCAGTCTGCCTGAAAACTCTCCTTTAGACACGGTTGTTCTTACAGTAACTGCTGCTGATGCTGATGAGGGAGTGAATGGAGAAGTTATTTACGGGTTTGATCACGTTTCTGATGAAAATCAGATGTTTTCTTTACATCCAAAAACAGGTGAAGTTAAGGTAGCGGGAGCTATTGATTATGAAAAAGAATCAAAATATGAAATGCAGATCAGCGCTAAAGATGGCCTAGGGTTGGCGTCTCATGCAAGTGTTTTAGTTGAAATAATAGATGTAAATGACAACGCCCCTGTCATATATCTAAAGTCCCTGTCCAACCCGGTACCTGAGAACGCACCACCTGGTACAGAGGTGGGCATCATCAACGTGCAGGACAGAGACTCTGAGAAGAACCGACAGGTCCGCTGCTCCATCCAGCAGAACGTTCCTTTTAAGTTGGTTCCTTCTATTAAAAACTATTATTCTCTGGTGACCACAGGACAGCTGGACCGTGAACTAGTGTCTGATTACAACATTACAATCAGTGCCACTGACGAGGGCTCTCCACCTCTGTCCTCCTCTAAAACTGTTCAGTTATCTGTAGCTGACATTAACGACAACCCACCTGTGTTTGAGGAGCAGTCCTACAGCGCTTATGTGAGTGAAAATAACAAACCTGGCTCCACTTTATGTTCCGTTAGTGCTCGAGACCCGGACTGGAGACAAAACGGTACCGTGATTTATTCTCTGATACCTGCTGAGGTGAACGGTGCGTCAGTGTCCTCCTATCTATCAGTTAACGGAGACACGGGGGTGATCCACGCTGTCAGGTCGTTTGATTATGAACAGCTGAGGAGTTTTAAAGTCCACGTGATGGCCAGAGACAACGGTTCTCCTCCTCTCAGCAGCAACGTGACCGTGAGTGTGTTCGTATCAGATGTGAATGACAACTCTCCTCAGATTCTGTACCCCGCCCCGGAGGGCAGCTCCTTCATGACCGAGCTGGTCCCCAAAGCTGCACACGGAGGCTCTCTGGTGTCCAAAGTGATAGCGGTGGACGCGGACTCTGGACAGAACGCCTGGCTGTCCTATCAGATAGTCAGATCCACTGATCCGGGACTTTTCACTATCGGTGTGCACAGCGGAGAGATCAGGATGCAGCGGGACATTTCTGAATCTGACAGCATGAAACAGAACCTGATTGTAGCAGTGAAAGATAACGGACAGCCCTCTCTGTCTGCCACCTGTGCCATGTATTTACTGATTTCTGATAACTTGGCTGAGGTGCCAGAGCTGAAAGATATTTCTTATGATGACAAGAACTCCAAACTGACCTCGTATCTGATCATTGCGCTGGTGTGTGTGTCCACCTTCTTCCTGACCTTCATCATCATCATGCTGGGTGTGAGGTTTTGTCGCAGGAGAAAGCCCAGACTGTTGTTTGATGGAGCAGTGGCCATTCCCGGAGCTTATCTCCCTCCTAATTACGCAGATGTTGATGGAACAGGAACTTTACGCAGCTCCTACAACTATGACGCCTACCTGACAACAGGATCTAGAACCAGTGACTTTAAGTTTGTGTCATCTTACAATGACAACACGCTGCCTGCTGACCAGACTCTGAAGAAAAGTCCCTCTGAGTTTGCTGATGTGTTTGGAAGTTGTGATTCTTCTCCTGAGGTAGGCAAGTCCGTCTTATTTTCAGCTTTAACCCTCTGGAGGTAGGCGTTGCATATTTGCTACGTTAAAACCTACCTGGTTTTCCTCATATGTATTTCATGAGCATTTTTTAACTCAGAATTACACCTGAAGGACTTAGTTGTTCACATTTTTATCAAACTTATTTTGAGCCTGAGAGGGTTACATTTTATTCATTGTCAGAACTATTTCTAGAAGTGTGGGGGACTGGTTTTAACTTTTCTTTATATTCTTACATCAGCATATCATTTTTCTTTCATGCTGGTTGCTTTTTTTAATATCTTACTCAATTCAGATGCTTTGCATTTAGAATATTATTTTTGAATATTTTTCATAATCTGATTAATAATTCACATAATTGATTATCCTTGAACCGTCACCTTATCGTGGTGGAGGAGTTTGAGTGCCCTAATGATCCTAGGAGCTATGTTGTCTGGGGCACTTAGTGCCCTGGTAGGGTCTCCCATGACAAATTGGTCTTAGGTGAAGGGTGAGACAAAGAACGGTTCGAAGGATCTTTCATGGCGGTTAAAACGAAGAGTCGGAGTACCCGGCCCGGAGGGTTACCGGGGTCCCACCCTGGAGCCAGGCCTGGGGTTGGGGCCCGTGAGCGAGCGCCTGGTGGCCGGGCTTTCGCCCATGGGGCCCGGCCGGGCCCAGCCCGAACCGGATACATGGGCTCGTCCAACTGTGGACCCACCACCCGCAGGAGGAACATGAAGGGTCCGGTGCAATGTGAATCGGGTGGCAGACCAAGGCGGGAGCCTTGGCGGTCCAATCCCCGGACAAGAAAACTAGTTTTTGGGACATGGAACGTCACCTCGCTGGCGGGGAAGGAGCCGGAGCTTGTGGCAGAGGTTGAGCGGTACCGGCTAGATATAGTCGGACTCACCTCGACACATAGCATTGGCTCTGGAACCCGAGACCTGGAGAGGGGTTGGACACTCTACTTTGCTGGAGTTGCTCCGGGTGAGAGGCGGAGGGCTGGGGTTGGCTTTTTGTTAGCCCCGAGACTCTCTGCCTGTGTGTTGGGGTTTACCCCGGGGGACAAAAGGGTAGCTTCCTTGCGCCTTCGGGTCGGGGAACGGGTCCTGACTGTTGTTTGTGCTTATGGGCCAAATATCAGTTCAGAGTACCCACCCTTTTTGGAGTCCCTGGGACGAGTGCTAGATAGTGCTCCATCAGGGGACTCCATTGTCCTGCTGGGGGACTTCAATGCTCACGTGGGCAATGACAGCTTGACCTGGAGGGGTGTGATTGGGAGGAACGGCCCACCTGATCAGAACTCGAGCGGTGTTTTGTTATTGGACTTCTGTGCAAGCCGCAGTTTGGCCATAACGAACACCATGTTCGAACATAAGGATGCCCACCGGTACACTTGGTACCAGGGCAGCCTAGGTCACAGGTCGATGATAGATTTTGTAGTCGTATCATCTGACCTGCGGCCGTATGTTTTGGACACCCGAGTGAAGAGAGGGGCGGAGCTGTCAACTGATCACCACCTGGTGGTGAGTTGGATCAGATGGCAAGGGAACATGCCGCGTAGACCTGGCAGACCCAAACGCATAGTGAGGGTCTGCTGGGAACGCCTGGCAGAAGAACCTGTCAAGACGGTCTTCAACTCCCACCTCCGGCAGAGCTTTGACCACGTCCCGAGAGCAGTGGGGGACATTGAGTCCGAGTGGGCCTTGTTCCACTCTGCGATTGTCGAGGCGGCTGTTGTTAGCTGTGGTCGTAAGGTGGCCGGTGCCAGTCGTGGTGGCAACCCCCGTACCCGCTGGTGGACACCAGAGGTTCGGGGAGCCGTCAGGCTGAAGAAGGAGGCCTACAGGGCGTGGCTGGTCTGTGGGTCTCCGGAGGCAGCAGACAGGTACCGGATAGCCAAGCGGGGTGCAGCAGTGGCAGTTGCCGAGGCAAAATCTCGGGCGTGGGAGGAGTTTGGTGAGGCCATGGAGAAAGACTATCGATCGGCTCCAAAGAGGTTCTGGCAAACTGTCCGGCGCCTCAGGAGAGGAAGGCAGCAACTCGCTCACACTGTTTACAGTGGGGATGGGGAGCTGCTGACGTCAACTGACGCTATAGTCGGACGGTGGAAGGAATACTTTGAGGAGCTCCTCAATCCCACCAATGCGCATTCCGAGGAGGAACCAGAGCTGGGAGGCCTGGGGATGGACTGTCCGATCTCGGAGGCAGAAGTTGCTGAGGTAGTCAAACAACTACACAGCGGCGGAGCCCCGGGGGCGGATGAGGTTCGTCCTGGGTATCTCAAGGCTATGGATGTTGTAGGGCTGTCATGGTTGACACGTCTCTACAACATTGCGTGGTCATCGGGGGCAGTTCCTAGGGAGTGGCAGACCGGGGTGGTGGTCCCCATCTTTAAGAAGGGTGACCTGAGGGTGTGTTCCAACTATAGGGGGATCACACTTCTCAGCCTCCCTGGAAAGGTCTACTCCAAGGTACTGGAGAGGAGGGTCCGATCGATAGTTGAATCTCAGATAGAGGAGGAGCAATGTGGTTTTCGTCCTGGCCGTGGAACTGTGGACCAGCTCTATACCCTTGCAAGGGTGATGGAGGGGGCATGGGAGTTTGCCCAACCAATCCACATGTGCTTTGTGGATTTGGAGAAGGCTTATGACCGTGTCCCCAGGGGCACCCTGTGGGGGACGCTCCAGGAGTATGGGGTGGGTGGCTTTCTGTTAAGGGCCATTCAGTCCCTTTACCAGAGGAGCGTGAGTTTGGTCCGCATAGCCGGTAGTAAGTCGGACCTGTTCCCAGTGAGGGTTGGACTCCGCCAGGGCTGCCCTTTGTCACCGGTTCTGTTCATCACTTTTATGGACAGAATTTCTAGACGCAGCCGTGGTGTGGAGTGTGTCGAGTTTGGTGGCAGGAGAATCTCGCATCTGCTTTTTGCGGATGATGTGGTTCTCCTAGCTTCATCCAGCTCTGACCTTCAGCTCTTGCTGGGTAGGTTCGCGGCCGAATGTGAAGCGGCTGGGATGAGGATCAGCACCTCCAAATCTGAGACCATGGTTCTCGACCGGAAAAGGGTGGCTTGCCACCTCCGGGTCGGGGGAGAGGTCCTACCTCAAGTGGAGGAGTTTAAGTATCTCGGGGTCTTGTTCACGAGTGAGGGTAGGAGGGATCGGGAGATCGACAGGCGGATTGGTTCGGCGTCTGCAGTGATGCGGACGCTGAGCCGATCTGTCGTGGGGAAGAGGGAGCTGAGCCAGAAAGCCAGGCTCTCGATTTACCGGTCGATCTACGTCCCAATCCTCACCTATGGGCATGAGCTTTGGGTAATGACCGAAAGAACGAGATCGCGGATACAAGCGGCCGAAATGAGTTTCCTCCGTAGGGTGGCCGGGCTCAGCCTTAGAGATAGGGTGAGGAGCTCGGACATTCGGGAGGGACTCGGAGTAGAACCGCTGCTCCTCCGGATCGAAAGGAGCCAGTTGAGGTGGTTTGGGCATCTGGTCAGGATGCCTCCTGGACGCCTCCCCGGGGAGGTGTTTCAGGCATGTCCTGCCGGCAGAAGGCCCCCGGGTCGACCCAGGACACGTTGGAGAGGTTACATCTCCAATCTGGTCCGGGAACGCCTTGGGGTCCTGCCGGAGGAGCTGGTGGACAAGGCCGGGGAGAGGACGGCCTGGAGCTCCCTAATTGGGATGCTGCCCCCGCGACCCGGACCCGGATAAGCGGAGGAAGACGACGACGACGATTATTTATACATAAATGCACCCTCTGCGCATTTTCTAATGATATACCCCATCTAAAGTAACAATATTGCGTTGATTCTTTTGATAATTACCAACCTTACCACTTTTTTTTGTCTTTCACAAATGGTCAAACGGACAGTTTGTTTTCAACGTCCTCAAAATATTCAGGCCCCTTGTGTGTCCCTTATGTCAAATAGAAATTTGAGTGTGTCTGTTGACATTTATTCTCTAATAATTATATAGTAATAATTTTTCTTTGTTAAAAGAATTTTTTTTACTATTATGTTGTTTCATAAAACAGTTTTAACTAACGCAACATCAGAAAAAAAGTCTTACACGCTACTCTTTTAATTTATTCAATCCACCAACGTTTCGTTTATTTGAATTGTCTTGCTTTCACAAAGTTTGCCGATGCATCACCTGTATGTCAATGTTTTTATTTTGAAGGGGTTGCTGCTGCCCTACGTTTAGTTTTCCTGTCACGTGTGTTTTTCTGACTGCGTCACTATTGTGGAAAACAGCAGCTTTGCGTGTTTGCCTCTCTCCATGGTGCTGAAACTCGTCTAAACCGATATCTAATGTTCAGTGTTTAGTGGCAACATATTTTGATAATTTACAAATCATTTAAATTATAGTTTGTGCACCTATTTTTGAATAGTTTAATTTTGGTGTATTTTTCCACATACAATGTCTAGTTTCATTTTTGTTTGCTATCAGTTTATAGTAAGCAAAGCACAGCTTGTCTTTTAAAAAAGAGTGTTTGCCTTTGAATTACGTAGTTCAGTTTCTCTCATATTGTTCTCGTGTTTATTTCATTCTAATGATAGTTTAAAAATAATTACCATCAGGGGCAGGGCTTGGGGGGTGGGGGTGGAGGGTGGGGGGCATGGTCCGTCGGCCGGGCTTGCGACGCAGCGGATGAGAACGAACGGAACCTCTAACACAAACGATGGATGCTGCAGAAGACAAGCACCTCGTGTTCAGAGGAAAACGAACTCCGTTATTAATAATTCCTCTCATGCAGATTTATTTAGGGTTTTTATAGGTTGCCCCAGTCAGGATTGAGTCATGGCTGCTAACTTTACAAGACCGACTGACTTTAGTGACGTAAAGGTGTAAAATATTGAATGAAATGTTGGGCTGCATGACTGGCTTTTTTTAAACTCTTATCTTCATGACCTGGACATTTACAAGTGGATCTCCGAAATCATCTCCAGGTGGATTATGGCTAAAACTCGCCATCAGCCGTTCACCAACACCATCATCACTTGTCAACAGATAGCAAGTGGATGGCTAACGGAGATGAAGAAATTGATCTGGTCTCAGGGATTATTTCAGTTACATGTTAACGATACACTTTTGCAGCGAAGCTGATCATTATTGTGAGTCTTCCCAACACAGTCGCTAGTTTGTCTCAGAGATAACTTTATGACAAAGTTACTGAAGTCTCCCTGTGTAGAGGGGATGATGGTTTTCGTATAAATAATCAGCAACTTTGATTAGTGTTATTTAATTTTATTCACATAAAACCCAATTAGTTATTTTTTAGCTATTGGTCATGAACTGCGGCCAGTAGTGGCGCAGTTGCCGCTGTGTGATTGTAGAGGTTTGAAACGGTCTTAACGGGGTTTCTTTTTGTCACAATTGTATTCCACCTCAATACACACAATATCCTCCTTAATATAAAATTTTTAACAAACTAATTGAACAAACATCCATGTGTAATCTCGAAATTACGCAGCGTTCTGTGACTCACTCCCTCCTCACCCCACTCATCTCTTGGTGAGCTTCATAAACAAGCAGCAGCTGATGACAAATATATGTAAAAACTGAATGAAACCTCCGGAAGAAAGTATTTCAAAAGCATACTTTCTTTAAAAACACGAATAGTGAGTCCACATCCAGATAGAATAACCCTTTCTTCTGTCTAATGATCTGCAGCAGCTGGTTTTTAAATGACCACATGGTTTTATTTTTATTTTTATTTTGTCTTTCTCAACCACATGCCCATTTTCAAATGAAGCACACTCCTCTTGTTTGACATTTTCTTTTAGCGCTTTTTTACTTTATTTGCGCTTTGGGTTCCATCTATCCAGCTCCATGGATACATGTCGCCGCATGTAACCATCATGTAACCACAGGTTGGTCAGATGCTGCTGCCTGCTGCGATCAGTCGAGGCACGAGCACGGTGTCAAATAACTATGTTTACCACGCTTGTGCCTGGACTGAAGGTGCTGCATGCACAGCGCGCCTCACGGAAGTGATGCGCCTTGTGCGCAAAATATGGTCCTTTGTGGAGCACGAGTCCGGCGTATCAGGAGGGGCAGCGCTGCGTGGAAGCGGATGGCTGATGTTTGAGGACGGACAGATATACCACCAGAAATCTCCAATTTCGACTAATAAATGACCAGAAAAAACTCTAAATAAGAAGTGACCTTACCGGTCCTCACTGGGTGGCTGGACGTTCCCTTAGCCTGGGGGATCTCCGACAGGTGGGGTGAGGAGAAGGCCAGCACAGAGCTTTCTGGGAGAATTCACAGATGGCCAGTTAACCTCCGTTGTAACATCATATTAAGTCAGTAAACTGCACTGAATGCCCAGTTCCCAAATGGGCGCCACAGTTAAAATGTTGCCATGGCCTTTATGGGTTTAAATGGACCGGATTTTTTATCCGCACCGGCCGGTTCTGATTTGCTCCGCTAGTGATTAGCATGTCTTGTTTTATCCACTGCAAAAGAAGCAGCCATTAGGAGGGCACTAGATTGTTTTTCAAAGCACGTTGAGTATTATTTTAATTACATAAACTGACATTTTTCCACTCAATATTTACAACGAGTGTTTTATAAGGAAAACATGAATGTTTTGTAATTGGGAAAACAACATATTGAAACCTAAAATAAGTGGAACCAAATTATTTCATCAAAGAAAAGAAAAGCTGAGTTAGGAAGTAATTAAAACGTTCATACAGTATGTCAGCTATCACTCCAGCGAAGTGCGTTCTGTGACTTAAAATAACGTTTAAACCACCATCTTATTTCAGTAATGCATTTCTGTGTTCTTTCTGTATTATTAGGTTAATGTTCTATTAACTTCATACGAACCCTGTTGTGATGTTCCATTTATGCTCACGGTGTCAGTATAGACCAGCTTATTGTGATCAGTGTGGTTCTCAAGTCCTCCATGATCTCGTCCTGCCCCTGCGTGTTCTAGATTTTATGAAACGGAGACAATTGCGGATATTTTCGTTGCGGTCGAGAGAATTGTTGGATTATTTGATGTCAGCTTGTTTAACAAACAACAGAACCAACTTATGATGGCGCACTTGCTGAGAATTGCTGACATCTGGGGTCTCGTCTTTGTCTTCTTTGTGCTGCACTGCGCTCACGGTGAGCTGACCTACACCGTCCAGGAGGAACTGAAACACGGATCTGTTATCGGTAATGTCGCTAAGGACCTGGGAATGGACCTGGGGAGGCTCTCTGCTCGTAAGGCTCGTGTTGAAATGGAAGGAAACGATAAAGTGTACTTTGGCATCAACATGGGAAGTGGGAGTTTAATGGTTGCGGGGCGGATAGACAGAGAGGAGCTTTGTGGGGAAAAGCCGACGTGTTTTCTAAAATTCGACTTGATTTTAGAAAATCCTCTGGAATTACACAGGATGTCTGTTCAGGTGCAGGATATAAACGACAACCCGCCAATTTTCCCTAAAAGGGAAATAAAGCTGGAAATCACAGAATCAACAGCGAAAGGAGCGAGGTATCGTATTAATGCAGCGCAGGATGCAGATATAGGCCAGAACGCCGTTCAGAATTACATTTTGCAACAAAACGCAAATTTTTTGTTCAGCATTCAAACCACAAGCAGTGGCAGTAAATATGGAGAGCTGGTTTTAGATAAAGAGTTAGACCGAGAAGATCAGAACGAACTGAGACTGCTGCTCACAGCTGTAGATGGAGGATCTCCTCCTAAATCTGGGACTGTAGTTATTCACGTCACTGTGCTGGATGCTAACGATAATGCTCCCGTTTTTACCGAGTCTGTTTATTCAGCCATGTTACCGGAAAACTCTCCAATTAACACCCCAGTTGTTACAGTTAGTGCAACAGATGCAGATGAAGGTCTAAATGGAGAGGTCACGTATGAATTTAGTCGAATGTCTGATAAATCACAAACATTTTTCTCTCTTGATCCCAAATCTGGTGTAATTACAGTGACAGATAATATAGATTATGAAGATGGTTCAAAATATGAAATTGTTGTAGAAGCTAAAGATGGATATGGGCTCTCTTCAGAAGCAAAGTTGATCATTGATATTACTGATGTAAACGACAATGCTCCAGTTATCCATCTAAAGTCACTGTCCAACCCGGTACCTGAGAACGCACCACCTGGTACAGAGGTGGGCATCATCAACGTGCAGGACAGAGACTCTGAGAAGAACCGACAGGTCCGCTGCTCCATCCAGCAGAACGTTCCTTTTAAGTTGGTTCCTTCCATTAAAAACTATTATTCTCTGGTGACCACAGGACAGCTGGACCGTGAACTAGTGTCTGATTACAACATTACAATCAGTGCCACTGACGAGGGCTCTCCACCTCTGTCCTCCTCTAAAACTGTTCAGTTATCTGTAGCTGACATCAACGACAACCCACCTGTGTTTGAGGAGCAGTCCTACAGCGCTTATGTGAGTGAAAATAACAAACCTGGCTCCACTTTATGTTCCGTTAGTGCTCGAGACCCGGACTGGAGACAAAACGGTACCGTGATTTATTCTCTGTTACCTGCTGAGGTGAACGGTGCGTCGGTGTCCTCCTATCTATCAGTTAACGGAGACACGGGGGTGATCCACGCTGTCAGGTCGTTTGATTATGAACAGCTGAGGAGTTTTAAAGTCCACGTGATGGCCAGAGACAACGGTTCTCCTCCTCTCAGCAGCAACGTGACCGTGAGTGTGTTCGTATCAGATGTGAATGACAACTCTCCTCAGATACTGTACCCCGCCTCGGAGGGCAGCTCCTTCATGACCGAGCTGGTCCCCAAAGCTGCACACGGAGGCTCTCTGGTGTCCAAAGTGATAGCGGTGGATGCGGACTCTGGACAGAACGCCTGGCTGTCCTATCAGATAGTCAGATCCACTGATCCGGGACTTTTCACTATCGGTGTGCACAGCGGAGAGATCAGGACGCAGCGGGACATTTCTGAATCTGACAGCATGAAACAGAACCTGATTGTAGCAGTGAAAGATAACGGACAGCCCTCTCTGTCTGCCACCTGTGCCATGTATTTACTGATTTCTGATAACTTGGCTGAGGTGCCAGAGCTGAAAGATATTTCTTATGATGACAAGAACTCCAAACTGACCTCGTATCTGATCATTGCGCTGGTGTGTGTGTCCACCTTCTTCCTGACCTTCATCATCATCGTCCTGGGTGTGAGGTTTTGTCGCAGGAGAAAGCCCAGACTGTTGTTTGATGGAGCAGTGGCCATTCCCGGAGCTTATCTCCCTCCTAATTACGCAGATGTTGATGGAACAGGAACTTTACGCAGCTCCTACAACTATGACGCCTACCTGACAACAGGATCTAGAACCAGTGACTTTAAGTTTGTGTCATCTTACAATGACAACACGCTGCCTGCTGACCAGACTCTGAAGAAAAGTCCCTCTGAGTTTGCTGATGTGTTTGGAAGTTGTGATTCTTCCCCTGAGGTAGGCAAGTCTGTCTTATTTACCGCTTTACAAGGTTTTCATCTTCAGGACTGTTAAGTAGAAGTGTGGGGGACTGGTTTTAACCTTTCTTTCTATTCTTTTACAGCAGCATGTAATTTTTGTTTCGTACTGATTACCGTTTTTATATATGACAGGCTGTATCCCGGCTTGAATACCTCGCGGAAAACTTCAAAAAATGTTAACCATTTATTCACCTGTTATTGGAGGAGTAAAAATATGCAGCAAGCATTTTATTCGTAAATGGAATTGACAGGAAACGTGGATTTAGAGGTTGCGAGCGCACGGAAAGGTGGAGTGGAATGAGAGACAAATGTGTCCATGTTAAAAAAGTAACTGAAATACAAACAGTTATTATAATAATAAATAATAAATGAAAATATACAATATAAACACAATAGTAAATGCATTGTCTTGGACTGGATACATACAGGATACCACAGAACAGCGATGTGCTTTCAGTTGTCAAGGCGGGGATTTGCTCTGCAACACTTCGGCTGAGGAGAAAAAACATCTCTGTCAGTTCGCCTGCATCTCTTCCACGTAGAGCTGACGCAGAAGCATGAACTAGGCTTTACTCAACTCAGATGCTTTACATTTGTATTCATGATTCACGTAAATGCATATTTACATATACGTTTATCCTCAACGTACAGCTCCTAAAACATAAAATCCCATTCAAGCAACTGCTTCAAATATTGGTATCTAAGTTCATCACTTGTTTTTTTAATAAATATTTTTTTCATAAAAGTTAAATTTGCAATTTATGTTGAACATAATCAAAAACATTTGTACCACGGTGTCTTTCTTAGACAGTAACTCAATAGAAATGTATACTTTGTGTACATCAGTTCACTTTTATTCTCCAATAAGTTTTATAACTCATTGCATTTGTTGTAATAAAATATGGTTTTACCATTTTGTGGCTATATAAAATAGCTTTATCTAATGCAGCATCAGTTAAAAACAAAAGCATACACCTTGTTCTTTTAGGTCATTCATTCCATGAACGTTTTGCTCCGTTTACTTTATTTTTTTGCTCACGAAAGGTTTGCCAGCACATCACGTCTATATAATTGTCCTTATTTTGGACAGTTTGTTGCTGTTCTACTTTTAGTTACCAAATCCTACTGGTTGTGCCGAGCACCAGGCTAAAGACCAAAGGGGACAGATCATTTGCTGCTGTGGCCCCCAGACTCTGAAACTCTCGCCTCCTGACCCTGAGATCAGTGGACTCAGTGGTCTCGCTTCGCCTCTGTCAGTGCGCCCCAGGGCAGCTGTGGCTACATTGTAGCTCATTACCATCAGTGTGTGAATGTGTGTGTGAATGGATGAATGATACACTGCAGTGTAAAGCACTTTGGAGTCCTTACTCTGAGAGGCGCTATAAAAGTGCGGGTCATTTATCATTTATCTCCTTTAAAAAGCAGCTGTAAACTCCTTGTTCAAGCTGGCGTTGCATGAATTTCATCACCCTTTCCTTATTTTGCTCTTTCTACCTGTTCTGCCTTTACCGGGATCTTCGGATTTTCCTCTTTCCTACTCATCTTCTCTCTCCCTTTCCTAACATTTTTGATCACATTTCTTTTCAATTTAAACTTATTTTCAGTTTTTTTATACATGTCTTTTTATTTTAGAAAAATAGACCTGTCAAGTACATTTCAAAACAACGTGAATTTTCTCAAGTTTTACCCCCAAGAACAAGCGCCAGACTGCCAACCCTAACAGGAAAGGAAGAGAGGAAAAAAACAAAACAGAAAAACAAAACAAAAATAAATAAAATAAAACATAATACAATTTAAGGGGGGGTAGTCAGAAACAATAGTTGTGGATTTCTCGACGAATGTCAAACATGTTTGCCAAGCTTTATAGAATTTGTTTACAGAACCACGGACGGTGTGTCTGATTTTTTCAAGATCCATGCAAAACATAGTATCTCTTATCCAGTGGGCATGAGAGGGAGAAAAAGAGTCCTTCCACTTTAGCAAAACAGCTCTTCTGGCCAGTAAGTACGGAAACTCCAATTTCACTCTAGGATTAATAAAATATCTTTGATTTGATGGTCAAAAAAGATAGTATTCTTAGTTTGGAATGTGGTAAGGTCAGATCTGGGGCGACACCAATTATAGCAGAGACAGGGTTTGGCTCCACCTGACACTGCAGAACTTCAGAGATTGTACCAAAAACTGATCTCCAAAAGTTAGCCAGGGAGGGGCACGGCCAATACATATGTAGTAAAGAGCCACTAGCACCCCTACATTTTTTGCAAGTTGGGTCTATGTTTGGGTATAGACGTGCCAACTTGGCCTTAGACAGGTGCACATGGTGGACCACCTTAAATTGCACTAGTGCATGTCGAGCACACATAGATGAGGAGTGCACCTGGCCCAGTATAGATGCCCACACCTCATCTGAGATTGCAAAATTGAGGTCCTGCTCCCAGGCAGTTTTAATAGCCACTAATGAAGGACAACGTAGTTGAGTGATAGAGTTATAAAGCTTAGACATTACTCCTCCCACTGTGGGGTTTATGAATAAAAACTCATCCAATGGGTTCTCTAGGGGTTTATTTGAAAATTGGGGCATCGTACTCTGCATGTAATGCCTGACCTGTAAGAACCTGAAAAAATTGAGTGGAAGCAATCCCAAATTTTGTTGTCAGCTGGGCAAAACTATATAAGTCTGTGAAATGTTTTAGACCTTTTTTATGCCAAAAAAGAAAGGCAGCATCAGACATTGATGGAGAGAACAAGTGGTTAGCTGCACTTGGACTTAAAAGTGAAAAAGCCTGAAGACCCAGAGTTTTTCTGAATTGAGACCAGGTTTTCAGGGATTGCTTAACCACTGGGCTCCCAGAAGCGATAGAGCAAGAAAGTGGAAGTGGCGCACCTAGGAGTGCAGAAAGAGAGACTGTTGCACCAACCGCATGGGCCTCCATGGTGACCCAGATTGGAGGTGAAGATTCAAGATGAAAGTGCCTCCAGTGCAGCATACGCCTAATGTTCGCAGCCCAGTAGTAGTGCTGTAAATTGGGTAAGGCCATCCCCCCCCTGCTTAGGCCACTGGAGGAAGGCCTTTCTCAGCCTAGGATGTTTGCCAATCCAGAAAAAAGAGAGGAATAAGGAGTCTAGAGATTTAAAAAAAGATTTAGGGATCATAATAGGAAGTCACTGGAAGAGATAAAGAAATTTGGGGAGACGCATAATTTTCACAGAGTAAGAGACAGTACTAGTGGGGACCATTTAGATAGTGGTTGCTTCGCTTGATCAAATAGTGGAAGAAAGTTACTCTTGAACAAGTCCTAAAAATCTCTAGTGACACCCCCTCCCAAGGTATTTATATTGGTTAGTAACAACCTTTAAGGTAAAACTTCCATACTTGAGACAGATGGCCTCCCTATTAATCGGAAACAGTTCGCTCTTATTCAAGTTAAGTTTATAGCCGAAGAACGTACTAAAGTTGTCTAAAATCTGGAGTACCGCTGGGAGAGACCTGAGTGGATCGGAAATATATAATACCAATTTCTCAGCAAATAGAGAGACCTTATGCTCGAGACCGCCTCTAAGGATGCCCTGTATTTCATCACTGCCACAAACCGCAATAGCAAGTGGCTCAATGGCCAAGGCAAGGAGGAGGGGGCTCAAAGGACAGCCCTGCCTCACCCCACAGTAAAGTCTAAAGTAATCAGAGCAACGGCCATTTGTAAGCATTGATGCTACAGGGTTCACATACAGTAGTTTAACCCAGGATTGAAATAAAGGACCAAAACAAATTTCTGTAATGTAAAAAACAAATAAACCCACTCAACCCTATCAAACACCTTTTCAGCATCCATAGACAACAGGCATTCAGCTACACGGTAACTAGTTGTGTAAATTATATTAAACAAACAGCGAAAATTATCGAATGAGTGGCGATTCCTAACGAATCCAGTTTGGTCAGGAGAGATTACAGAAGGAAAGGCAGTTTCTAACCTACAAGCAAACAACTTTGCCAAAATCTTAACATCAGTATTTAATAAAGATATAGGCCTGCAAGAGGTGCAGTCAAATGGGTCTATGTCCTTCTTAAGCAGCATGGAAATGCAAGCCTGATAACATGATGGGGGAAGTACCCCAGACTCAGACGAACCAGTAAATAATAAACTTAAAAAGGGGAAAGATCATCTGAAAACCTTAAAAAAATATGTCGAAAACCCGTCTGGGCCCGGTGATTTCCCCGACTGCATGGATGATATAGCTACTTTGATTTCCTCTACGGTGATGGGTGCTTCAAGATTTTGTCTAGTTTCTGGGAGAATAGAAGGCATATCCACAGAGTTAAAAAAACTCTCCATATCGCTCAAACATGTAGTAGAATCTGACGTATATAGATTTGAGTGAAGGCTCTAAATTTGTCAATGATTGCTGTCTGATCAGATGTGATGTCCCCGCTGTCTGTCCTAATGCCCCGTATAGATTGTTTGGCCCTTGCACCGCGCAGCTGATTGGCCAGAATTTTATCGGTCTTTTCACCATGCTCATAAAAATTGCTCTTACACCTGATCAAACAGCCTTCGACCTGGCGGGAAGAAAGAATATTGAATTCAGTCTGTAGCCTTAATTGTTCTTTATACAATGCAGGAGATGGTGAGTGTGCATATAGTCTATCCAAATTAAGATTTTGGTCTGAAATATCCTTCTGTCTCTTTTCCTTAGCTCTCCTTTTAAATGCAGCAAAAGAAAGGATTTCGCCCCTAAGGAAGGCCTTCAATGCTTCCCAGGATGTTTGACAAGGCATGCATGGGGTCCTATTTTCAATCAAAAAGGTTTTAAATTTAGAGGAAATATCTGAAACAAATGTTTCCTCTGCAAGCAGCGACGGATCTAACCTCCAACGCTTTTTCACAAAGCCACTATCCAGAAGAGCCATTTAAAGAAGCAGCGGGGCATGATCGGAAACTGTAATACTTTCATAACTGCAAGATTTAAGGTTTGGGAGCAGCTAATTGTCTATAAAAAAGTAATCGATGCGAGTGTATGTATGATGTACGTGAGAGAAAAAGGAGTAGTCCCTACCAGTTGGATATAAGAAACGCCAAGGATCAGTAAGGCTAAAGTCTTCAAGAAATGACCTAATATATTTGGCTGACTTATTTAGACTAGCAGGCTTAGAGGAGGAACGATCTAACTGTGCATCCAACAAACAGTTAAAGTCCCCACCTAAAATCAGAGAATGAGGATTCAAATCCGGGAGCTGAGAGAAAAGGTTTTGGAAAAATTCCACATCGTCGAAATTAGGCGCGTAAACGTTGGCCAAGATCACAGATTTATTGCAAAGTGTGCCAGATACAATCATAAAGCATCCATTTTTATCTGAAATGATATTTGAGGCAACAAAGGGAATATTATTTTCAACAAGAATGGCCGTGCCCCTGGCCGTTGCTTTAAAATTTGAATGAAATGACCGCCCCGACCAGCATTTCCCCAAATACCGCTGATCTGAATCTCACAAATTAGTTTCTTACAAAAACACCATCCAGACCTGAGCTGTTTAAGGTGAGAAAACACTCTTTTCCGTTTAACTGGGTGGTTCATTCCTTTTACATTCCATCTGACAAGGTTAAGATTGCTGTTCATTCTAGAGTGATCCTGTAATCATAGTACCTAGAGTACCCCCTAGTGAAAGGAAGGGAAGAAAAACAACATACATAAAGAAAGTAAAATACAATTTAAGAAGAAAATTTGCTGTCTCAAATGAACCCACCACCCCTTCAAAAATAAAAAAAAAATAAAACCCTGAAAACAACACAGGTTGCAAAACAAAAAAAAAAGCCACTGTAATTCTCCTACTACTCATCACCAGCATACCAAAAATATACTCTCAAACTAAACCAACTTTTCCCCGCATCACAACAAATAAACAACTATTCTTCACAAAGCTGAAAATTGAGGGCTAAATAGAGCGTCAAACATACAACAAGATATTTTATCTAGGAATGAACTGCCAACAAATACATGGAAACAAAACCGCGCTCTGGTCCTTTCTCAACAGGTGTTGATTATTAAAATATGTATGCAGTATAATCGTCCTGTGGCTGTTGGAAGTCCCGGTAGTACCTGAGAAGTTCAGAAGGTCCAAGCTGGATCACGGTGATGCACTATGTTCCCCCTCCATAGACCGAAGGAGGTCGGCTGCCGCGGAAATGCACCGCAACCACCGTCTCTCCCCATGACGCGCAGCCTCGCAGGGAAGAGAAGAGAAGGCCGCAGTCCTTTGGTGTAGAGTTCAGCCATAACTTTCTCATACTCAGCCCGCTTCTTCAGGACGTCAGCACTGTAATCCTCATAGAAACGAAGCTTGTGCCCCCGGTAATCCACCGTGCTGTGCTTCCTTGCCTCCCTCAACACCAAATCTTTAATTCGGAAATGATAAAAACGAATAATCACCGGGCGCGGACGCCCCGCTGGACTGGGTTTTGGGGCAAGGCTGCGGTGGGCTCTATCCAGCTCAGGCGGAGATGATAGAATCTGGTCACCAAATATCTCCACAAGAAGCCTGGAAAAAAATGCTGTTGGCTGCGGACCTTCCAGAGACTCGGGTAAGCCAAACACTCAAAGATTCATCCTCCTGCTTCTCCCCTCGAGGTCAGAAAGTTTAAACTTCAGCATTGCATTGTCTTCCTGTAGAGTCGCACACACAGTTTCGAGTTGCTCTAAGCGTTGGCTAACTTCCTCGGCGTTTGATTCGAGGTCCTTGATGCGTTGCCCGTGTCCTGAGACATTGGTTTGAATTTTGTCCAGTTTGGTGTCCAAATGATCAAACAAGGATTTAAAGTCAGTACCAATCTTCATTCAGAGTTTATCAAGCACCTCTGAGATTTGTGCTGCGGTCAATGGCATGCTAGCTCCGTTAGCTGCGTTAGCCCCTGCCGAGGAGCTTTCTGCTACCGAGTCCTTTTTGCTGCCTTTAGTCGATTTAGACATGACTTCCCAGCTCGTGATGTTGTTGCTGATGGTAATGCCCAAGTCCCAACGGGGTTACAGATGGAGGAGAGGTGAAGAGAGTAATAAAAACAAATATTCTAGCGGGAGCCAGCAAACTGCACACCTACGCCATCGCTTGCCAACCGCAAGTCCTCACTTTCAGTTTTTTAATACTTAAAGAGCAAGTCACCCCCTGCCAGATTCTTACTCCACTCCCACTTCCTGTTTGAAAAATGCAAAAAATGCTGTCGCCTGGCAGACTGAAAGGGCAGAGCCACTAACAAAATACGCACACACACACACACACACACACACACACACACACACACACACACACACACACACACACACACACACACACACACACACACACACACACACACACACACACACACACACACACACACACACACACACACACACACACACACACACACGACATTGTGACCTCATAATGTACCAGCTGACATCATAGTGTACTTCTTAGCCTATAGCAATGGCATATTAAATTTAAATGCAATGCAGAGTTTTTACCTGACAACTGTGCAACAATGACAGTTTTAGGCAGAATATTTAAATTTTAACTAAGATGCACTTAAGTGCCAAATGATTGACTGCATGTGTCTACAGCATGGTTAGACACTCATTTATATAGTTAATCAGCAAAAAAGAATTGAATTTGGGGGTGAGTTGCTCTTTGTTTTTTGTTTTCGTGAAGCGCCTCATATGTTTTTTTTATATTTGAGATGCGCTTTATTAAGGATCGTTTTCTTTCTTTTCTTTCTAGTTCTTCTGTAACGTGTTTCACAGACTGCGTCATTATTTTGGAAAAAGCAACAGCTTGGAGTGTTTGTCTCTCTCCATGGTGCTGAAACTCCTCTCAACCGCGGACTAATTTTGTGTTTTGAGGCAACATCGCTTGTTTGTTAATTTAAAATTCGTTTACATTGTAGTTTGTGCAAATATTTTTGATAGTTACATTTTGATGTTTTTTTTATTTTTTAAACAATAAATAGCTTCTCATTTTCGTTTTTTTTTGTTTACAGTAAACAAAGAACAGGTTGATGTCTTTAAAACAAGCGTGTTTCCCTTTGAATTACGTTTCCAGTTCGTATCACAGTGTTCACGTGTTTCTTATCTTTAAAAGCATATCGTTTAAAATTATCTTATGTTGTTTTTCACTGCACAAAAGGCAAACATTATGATGCCAATATATTGTTCTTCAAAGAATTTTAGGAATCATTTAATTACATAACATTCACGCTTTTTCCACTCAATATTTGCAGGGAGCATTTTTTAAAGAAAAATACGAATAGTTGGTAATTGGGGAAAAACTGAGCATCAAGAATGATAAAATAATTTGAACCAAAACATTTTATTATCATCAAAGAAAAGAAAAGCTGAGTTAGGAAATAATTAAATTTTTCATATATATGTCAGCTGTCACTCCAGCGAAGTGCGTTCTGTGACTTAAAATAACGTTTAAACCACCATCTTATTTCAGTAATGTATTTCTGTGTTCTTTCTGTATTATTAGGTTCATGTTCTATTAACTTCATACGAACCCTGTTGTGATGTTCCTTTCATGCTCGCGGTGTCAGTATAGACCAGCTTAGCGTGATCAGTGTGGTTCTCAAGTCCTCCATGATCTCGTCCTGCCCCTGCGTGTTCTAGATTTTATAAAACGGAGACAATTGCGGATATTTTCGTTGCGGTCGAGAGAATTGTTGGATTATTTGATGTCAGCTTGTTTAACAAACAACAGAACCAACTTATGATGGCGCACTTGCTAAGAATTGCTGAAATCTGGGGTCTCGTCTTTGTCTTCTTTGTGCTGCACGGCGCTCACGGTGAGCTGACCTACACCGTCCAGGAGGAGCTGAAACGCGGATCTGTTATCGGTAATGTCGCTAAGGACCTGGGAATGGACCTGGGGAGGCTCTCTGCTCGTAAGGCTCGTGTTGAAATGGAAGGAAACGATAAAGTGTACTTTGGCATCAACATGGGAAGTGGGAGTTTAATGGTTGCGGGGAGGATAGACAGAGAGGAGCTTTGTGGGGAAAAGCCGACGTGTTTTCTAAAATTCGATTTGATTTTAGAAAATCCTCTGGAATTACACAGGATGTCTGTTCAGGTGCAGGATATAAACGACAACCCGCCAATTTTCCCTAAAGGGGAAATTAGGCTGGAAATAAGGGAATCAGCTGATAAAGGAGCGAGGTATCGTATTAATGCAGCGCAGGATGCAGACATAGGCCAGAACGCCGTTCAAAATTACATTTTGCAACAAAACGCAAATTTTTTGTTCAGCATTCAAACCACAAGCAGTGGCAGTAAATATGGAGAGCTGGTTTTAGATAAAGAGTTAGACCGAGAAGATCAGAACGAACTGAGACTGCTGCTCACAGCTGTAGATGGAGGATCTCCTCCTAAATCTGGGACTGTAGTTATTCACGTCACTGTGCTGGATGCTAACGATAATGCTCCCGTTTTTACCGAGTCTGTTTATTCAGCCATGTTACCGGAAAACTCTCCAATTAACACCCCAGTTGTTACAGTTAGTGCAACAGATGCAGATGAAGGTCTAAATGGAGAGGTCACGTATGAATTTAGTCGAATGTCTGATAAATCACAAACATTTTTCTCTCTTGATCCCAAATCTGGTGTAATTACAGTGACAGATAATATAGATTATGAAGATGGTTCAAAATATGAAATTGTTGTAGAAGCTAAAGATGGATATGGGCTCTCTTCAGAAGCAAAGTTGATCATTGATATTACTGATGTAAACGACAATGCTCCAGTTATCCATCTAAAGTCACTGTCCAACCCGGTACCTGAGAACGCACCACCTGGTACAGAGGTGGGCATCATCAACGTGCAGGACAGAGACTCTGAAAAGAACCGACAGGTCCGCTGCTCCATCCAGCAGAACGTTCCTTTTAAGTTGGTTCCTTCCATTAAAAACTATTATTCTCTGGTGACCACAGGACAGCTGGACCGTGAACTAGTGTCTGATTACAACATTACAATCAGTGCCACTGACGAGGGCTCTCCACCTCTGTCCTCCTCTAAAACTGTTCAGTTATCTGTAGCTGACATCAACGACAACCCACCTGTGTTTGAGGAGCAGTCCTACAGCGCTTATGTGAGTGAAAATAACAAACCTGGCTCCACTTTATGTTCCGTTAGTGCTCGAGACCCGGACTGGAGACAAAACGGTACTGTGATTTATTCTCTGTTACCTGCTGAGGTGAACGGCGCGTCGGTGTCCTCCTATCTATCAGTTAACGGAGACACGGGGGTGATCCACGCTGTCAGGTCGTTTGATTATGAACAGCTGAGGAGTTTTAAAGTCCACGTGATGGCCAGAGACAACGGTTCTCCTCCTCTCAGCAGCAACGTGACCGTGAGTGTGTTCGTATCAGACGTGAATGACAACTCTCCTCAGATACTGTACCCCGCCCCGGAGGGCAGCTCCTTCATGACCGAGCTGGTCCCCAAAGCTGCACACGGAGGCTCTCTGGTGTCCAAAGTGATAGCGGTGGACGCGGACTCTGGACAGAACGCCTGGCTGTCCTATCAGATAGTCAGATCCACTGATCCGGGACTTTTCACTATCGGTGTGCACAGCGGAGAGATCAGGACGCAGCGGGACATTTCTGAATCTGACAGCATGAAACAGAACCTGATTGTAGCAGTGAAAGATAACGGACAGCCCTCTCTGTCTGCCACCTGTGCCATGTATTTACTGATTTCTGATAACTTGGCTGAGGTGCCAGAGCTGAAAGATATTTCTTATGATGACAAGAACTCCAAACTGACCTCGTATCTGATCATTGCGCTGGTGTGTGTGTCCACCTTCTTCCTGACCTTCATCATCATCGTCCTGGGTGTGAGGTTTTGTCGCAGGAGAAAGCCCAGACTGTTGTTTGATGGAGCAGTGGCCATTCCCGGAGCTTATCTCCCTCCTAATTACGCAGATGTTGATGGAACAGGAACTTTACGCAGCTCCTACAACTATGACGCCTACCTGACAACAGGATCTAGAACCAGTGACTTTAAGTTTGTGTCATCTTACAATGACAACACGCTGCCTGCTGACCAGACTCTGAAGAAAAGTCCCTCTGAGTTTGCTGATGTGTTTGGAGACTCTGATTCTTCCCCTGAGGTAAGAATAGGTCAGATGTTACCCATGTGAGCTTTGTCGTGAAAGAAAACAGGAACTTGTTGTGCTGTTTCAATATCACTTAAGCTTTGTGTGTGTGTGTGTTTGTGTGTGTGTGTGTTTGTGTGTGTGTGTGTGTGTGTGTGTTTGTGTGTTTGTGTGTTTGTGTGTGTGGATGGGTGGGGTGTCAAATATACAAATTGAAGTTAAGAAATTTGCTTTGCAAGTGCTTACAGCTGTTTTTGGAATGCTGGGTCTACATTCCACACAAAAAAAAACATTAGTAATGACACCTTTGTCCACCGTGGTTTCAAATTCTGGTTCTAATTGAAGGAGGGAGGATTGAGTTAATGAACTAACTGAAAGCCTGGCTGGTGGCGTTAGAGGTAGAGGAAGAATAGTAGATGGCCAAGCCCTGACCACTGATGAATCTTAGCAGAGACTTTCGGTGAACATAGTCTGGAGCGTCCAATGCAGATGTAGAGTGTTTGATTTATGATGCATTTAGTAAGAAGAAGGTTTCATTTGGGTAAGCAAATTGAGCATTTTTGATATTTTTGGTTGAGAAGTTATTTCAAGTAAGGTTTGGCCTTTCCATATTTGCATTGATGAGTATGAAGAGAAATCTTGCTTTTCATCTTGGTGGGGATGGCAATATAAATGTGCATATTGTCCTCAATCATTGGCCCTGTATTCAGGATCTTTGGCAGATATTGTGAAAATTTTAGAACCTCTGAACTGTCAGCTACCCAAAAGAAGAGCCATGCATTATGTAGAGGTGTTTAGCTGCAGGTGACTGTGGCACATACAAGCCTTTTACTCTTCCAGAGATATCACAAGATGAAGTAAAGATGATCAGAATGACAAACACATGCACATGAGCTAGAAACTGCAGCAATTGTTTAGATATGCAGCTGTGTGCCACCAATATAACAATGAAGAGAGAGAGTCTTCAATGACTTATAATATGGCTGATAGGAGAAGAGGTAGAAGATGAAGAGAACAGGGCCATGAACTGAACTCTGATGGATCCCACCAGTAACCGTGGGTGAACCTGATCAGAAGTCTCAAACTGAGAGGTATTGCATTTGATTTGAAGTATTAACCAACTGAGGACTGTGTCTGAGTCTAATGATGTGGTGAAGCCACTTTAGGAGGATTCTATGATCAGTTGCAGACAGATCAAGGAGAAAGAGAAGAGAGCAACAGCCAGTATCTGTAGACATTTAGAGGCCACTTGTGACTCTTGCCCAAGCTGTTTCAGTGCTGTTGCCAGAACAGAACCTGGGGCCTCATTTATAAACCAAACTTGTGCACCGATCTGTGCGTATTTCATGTGTAGAACTAATTTATGCATTGTGTGGTATTCATCATTTTGTAATGTTCCTAAATATAAGAAACTTCAGACATGCTGAGGAACAGCATCTAGTGGTAGAACGGAGGAACAGCAACACTGAAGGTCTCAGTCATCTACACGTTCCTCATCCACAAATTATTTTACCCAATAAGATGTGGCACATAGTTGGTGCCAACCCCCCCACATGGGAATTTGACATTGTAGAATGAATTTCATGTTTTTTGATCACAATTGTTACTCTTCCCATTTTTATGATGATCTTAATTGTTAACATGCACAAAACGACAATGATCCAACGAAGACAGCAACAAGGAGGGAGGTATAAATACACAAGGGAATCAGGAACACATGGGCAGAGTAATGAGGGACAGGTGAGAACAATAAGGCTAATCAAGGCAGGAGAGACACAGTCAGGGAGGCCGGGGTGGATCATGACAGATACCAGAAATGGGTGTGTGATTTAATAAGACGTGTGGATAATGAGTGGATTTATTGACTACTGGTCTCATCATGGCATTTTATGGCTGGAGGAACATGACCAGTTTGCTCGGAGTGCTTCACACTCAAAGTAATGATGGAACAGACGCGTCTTCACCAAGGACTGGGTCCAGGAAGCAAGCAGAAGATTTCCTTTCTAATAAAGCCTATTTATTGCTTCCAGTGGTACTTTAGTTCAGAATGTATTTGAGGACAGGTGGAGTCTGAACAATCTGTTTGTAGGGAAGCCAGTCGAAACAGAGGAAATAGATAATGTAAGATGTAGAGAAAGCAAATATATAATCACACTTTTGTTCAGTGGAGGCTGTGGATGGTAGAGATTGGAGTTTAACAAGATAGTTAGCTAATCTAACAGTTAGCTTCTACTAGCCGAGATATTCTCTGCTGTTTCCTAGATGCTAAACCAACAGCAGCTTTCCGCGTTGCAGGTCATGATGGGTGAGTCCATGAATGTTAGTGACAGTGTTACAGAGATCTGTCAGGTTTTTCAAATCCTAGAGTTTCACTGTCTAATTTTTATCAGTGAGAGGCCTCCTTTAACCGGGGAAGCAAACAATGTGTGTTTCATCAACATATTCTCACACCCGAAGCGTCCAAACATGATGTTGAGGGACCAAGCTTTTGTTTTCGATGCATTAGGAGCATCAGGAGGCGTCGGTTTCCGACACCTGCGATAATATTTCACTGATATTTAACCTCTAACCTCTTGATATTTAACCTTCCCCTGACCCCCAAACTAACCATGACCTTGTTTCTCATTCTAAACTTCCTGTTAACAATGTTTGAGAGGGATGTTACAACTAGAAACTAAGTTTTGCATGCACAAGTGGGTTAAGCTTAGGATGGGGGAGAGGGGAAGATTAAATAGCTAAAGGGTAACGGTCAGAATTCTGTGACATCTCCATTTTGTCGTGGAATTTGGAAAGTGACGCTCTGGCACAGCTCCCAAAACAAACGCTTGGTCACCCGTCATCAGTTTTTGACACTTTGAGTGTGAGAATGTGTTGGTTTCATGGGGGATTTCACATCAACAAGGCTACTGTGGGTGAGGTATTAGTTCACTGCTTCATCAGCTTTAGGAAAGATAGGTTGAGAAAAGGTTGGAGTTCTGCTCCAATCATATGAGGATTTGGATATTTCTAAAAGAAATACTTAGCATTTAGACCTAATGAGACCAGATGAAAATAATACACATTCATGGGAACCACTTTATGAGAGGACACAACCAGATCATAAACAAGCTGAGGAGTGGAGCAGAGTTTGTGATGAGCAGATCTATAGTGTACTCCTTGTTGTATGTATAGCTACTGAAAAGCTGCTTTAAATGGAAAAAGTCCAATAACTCAGGGAATTTAGCTGCACTGTGATGAGAGCGTGTGGGAATATGAATGTTCATGTCTCCCAGTATTAGGATATTTGCATGGGGTCGCAGATGGTTGTATATCTGACGAATCAGCGTTGTTGTTGAGGGTGAAGATTCTTCTTCCTGAAGGAAAATGATGGAAAACATTAAATCATTTTTGACAAAAGCCTTTTTGCCTTTTATTCTACTGTGCTTCATTTTTAATCATTTGAAGAAAAAAAATTATATTTCTGTGTTAAACGTTTGGATTGTTTCTTTTTTATTGCTTCCTCATCAAATCAGTGGTATTTGTTACAGTGATTTAGACATTTAAATGAGACATCAGATTAAATTATCACACAAAAAATCTATGCCAAAAGAGGCATACATATTCTATGATAATGTGATTTCAAGCAAATCTACAAATGTATCAGGGGAGATGGCTTGTTTAAACTCACCATGTAAAACTATCTGGTTTTGGCTGGACTGGACCATGAACTCAAGAACCAAAGATGTTTAAAAGAAGTAAAAAGCGTGCTACATCTTCATTTATGCTATTGTGTCTGTTATTTGTGGTGATCCATTGCAGCCTAGGCATTTCTCTGAAAGTTTACCTGCACAGTTGTGCCCTTGATTTGTCTGAAGTCTCATCTGTTGATGAAAAAAAAGTCCGACTGCATAGCTGTGTTCTTCATCAGTAGAAATGATTTCATCTGTCAATAGAAATTAAGACATTAAACAGAAGGAACACATGCTCTGATATAACAAGTAATTAACATTTTACATTTTTTTCATATTATCTGTGCTCTTTCTGATAAAATAAAAGGAGGACACAAAACACAGAGACTCCTTTGCAATTGTTGCCCACCACTACTCATGGTCTATACTATATCTTATGTGTGTCTTTTCTAATAATGATCCATTTATTTGTGTTATTGTTTCATTAAGAATGAGAAAGGAAGCCCTGCGCAGATTGATGTGAGCTATACCTTTGATAATGTTTTCTGTAAAAATAAACGTTTTGGGATCCGATATATTTTAAAACAATTAACAATACATTATTTTTAATTAGCAATTCTGTCACATGAGAATAACACTGCATTTGAACTAATTAAAGAGGGTTTTCATAATGACATAAAACATATTAAGCTTCAGCACTAAAATTGTTGCTGAAGAGTTTGATCATTTCTATGCAGTGGCTATATTTTATTTCTACTCAAGGTGTCAGTATAGACCAGATAAGCGTGTAACATTGACCGTGTTTGTCTTACATCCTCCATTACTGGGATTGGTCGGTGTGTGTTCTGTGCTATTTAAGACTGGTGGTCACAGCGGAGAGAAAATCATAGATTTGTGAGGAAATTATTTTACGGGTAAAAACGTAGTTTTGTCGCTTGTGGCATTAAGCTGCGCAACGATGGCATTTAGTCTGCGAATCGTATTAATCTGCGGATTCTTTGTTTTCTTTGTGCTGCACTGCGCTCACGGAGACCTGACCTATTCAGTCGAAGAGGAGCTGAAACACGGATCTGTCATTGGAAATATCGCAAAGGATTTGGGACTGGATTTCGGGAGACTGGCTGCGCGTAAAGCGCGTGTCGAAATGGAAGGAACTGAGAAACAGTATATAACAATCAACCAGAAAAATGGGGATGTGGTCGTTGTAGGGAGGATAGACAGAGAGGAGCTTTGCGGGGAGAAGCCGACATGTGTTCTCAAATTCGATCTGCTTTTAGAAAATCCTCTGGAATTACAAAGACTGTCTCTCCAGGTGCAGGATATAAACGATAATTCACCCGTTTTCCAAAAGGATGTAATGAAGCTGGAAATCAGAGAATCAGCCGATAAAGGAGCGAGGTACCGTGTGATTGCTGCTCATGATTCAGACATAGGCCAGAACTCCGTTCAAAGCTACGTTTTGAAACAAAACGCGCACTTCGTGTTTAATATTCAGACATCCAGCAGTGGCAGGAAATATGGAGAGCTGGTTTTGGATAAAGAGTTAGACCGAGAAGATCAGAACGAACTGAGACTGCTGCTCACAGCTGTAGATGGAGGGTCTCCTCCTAAATCTGGGACTGTAGTTATTCACGTCACTGTGCTGGATGCTAACGATAATGCTCCCGTTTTTACCGAGTCTGTTTATTCAGCCAGGTTACCGGAAAACTCTCCAATTAACACCCCAGTTGTTACAGTTAGTGCAACAGATGCAGATGACGGTGTTAATGGAGAGGTCACGTATGAATTTAGCCAACTGTCTGATAAAGCAGGGAAGCTTTTTTCTATTGATCAGAAATCTGGAGTAATCTTTGTAACATGTGACGTAGATTATGAAGAAGGTCCTAGATATGAAGTTATGATTGAAGCTAAAGATGGATACGGACTAACCTCAGACGTTAAACTAATCATTGACATAATTGATGTCAATGACAACGCCCCACTGATTAATCTAAAGTCTCTGTCCAACCCGGTACCTGAGAACGCACCACCTGGTACAGAGGTGGGCATCATCAACGTGCAGGACAGAGACTCTGAGAAGAACCGACAGGTCCGCTGCTCCATCCAGCAGAACGTTCCTTTTAAGTTGGTTCCTTCTATTAAAAACTATTATTCTCTGGTGACCACAGGACAGCTGGACCGTGAACTAGTGTCTGATTACAACATTACAATCAGTGCCACTGACGAGGGCTCTCCACCTCTGTCCTCCTCTACAACTGTTCAGTTATCTGTAGCTGACATCAACGACAACCCACCTGTGTTTGAGGAGCAGTCCTACAGCGCTTATGTGAGTGAAAATAACAAACCTGGCTCCACTTTATGTTCCGTTAGTGCTCGAGACCCGGACTGGAGACAAAACGGTACCGTGATTTATTCTCTGTTACCTGCTGAGGTGAACGGCGCGTCGGTGTCCTCCTATCTATCAGTTAACGGAGACACGGGGGTGATCCACGCTGTCAGGTCGTTTGATTATGAACAGCTGAGGAGTTTTAAAGTCCACGTGATGGCCAGAGACAACGGTTCTCCTCCTCTCAGCAGCAACGTGACCGTGAGTGTGTTCGTATCAGATGTGAATGACAACTCTCCTCAGATACTGTACCCCGCCCCGGAGGGCAGCTCCTTCATGACCGAGCTGGTCCCCAAAGCTGCACACGGAGGCTCTCTGGTGTCCAAAGTGATAGCGGTGGACGCGGACTCTGGACAGAACGCCTGGCTGTCCTATCAGATAGTCAGATCCACTGATCCGGGACTTTTCACCATCGGTGTGCACAGCGGAGAGATCAGGACGCAGCGGGACATTTCTGAATCTGACAGCATGAAACAGAACCTGATTGTAGCAGTGAAAGATAACGGACAGCCCTCTCTGTCTGCCACCTGTGCCATGTATTTACTGATTTCTGATAACTTGGCTGAGGTGCCAGAGCTGAAAGATATTTCTTATGATGACAAGAACTCCAAACTGACCTCGTATCTGATCATTGCGCTGGTGTGTGTGTCCACCTTCTTCCTGACCTTCATCATCATCATCCTGGGTGTGAGGTTTTGTCGCAGGAGAAAGCCCAGACTGTTGTTTGATGGAGCAGTGGCCATTCCCGGAGCTTATCTCCCTCCTAATTACGCAGACGTTGATGGAACAGGAACTTTACGCAGCTCCTACAACTATGACGCCTACCTGACAACAGGATCTAGAACCAGTGACTTTAAGTTTGTGTCATCTTACAATGACAACACGCTGCCTGCTGACCAGACTCTGAAGAAAAGTCCCTCTGAGTTTGCTGATGTGTTTGGAAGTTGTGATTCTTCCCCTGAGGTAGGCAATTAACTCGATTCATATTCCCAAATGTATCTTTGTTGCTCAGCAAACTTTCGTTTATACTTTCAAATTTGGTAGTCGTTTACATTTTGTCTCGTTTCTATTGATTGAAAATATTTTTTACGCATTTATATTTTGGAGATGCATCAGCTTTATCCTCACCTATTTTCTCAATTTTTGTGTCATAGGACAGCATTTACTTTCCATAAACCCCTATTTAGAAAATGTATTCTAAACAATAGAAAGGAAATTACAAAACAAGTAGGAATGAGAAACAATCTAACTTTTCTGTGGTCTGTTTAGTTACTGTAATATGTGTGCCATCTGCAGTTTTGGTCTTACGTCTCTGTCCTTGGTGCTGAACCTTTTAGTAGCTGCTAGCATTTACAGCTCTCTTCTTTACTTATTTGTTTGTTTATTTATTTATGTCTTATTTAATTGATGCTAATATTGAATATATTCTGTAAATGGCCTAATCAAGTTTTATGATATCTCTGGAGAGTTTGATGCTTGATACAATTTAATTGATTTTTTGAATATTATCTTAGGAACAGCTTTTAATGCCAGTTAATACCACAACTAAATTAAATAACATGCAGAGGTGATTTTTATTTAAATAGAATGTTCATGATTAACCATTTTAGCATGGTACTTGATCAGAATTAATTAATTTTTTATTGAAACATAGTTTGTGGAAAGGTTATTTAAAATTATTTAAGACACTCAAATGGGGTTTTTATTTCTTTTAAACAGACTTTATTACACTGGGTTCGTTTAAGATAATTCTATAATTGGTTTTGATTAAGTTGGTAGATGTTATTATTCACCAAGATACTTAAACTCTGAAACTTGGCTTGTGTTTTTAATCAGTTATTATTTTGATTTTTTCGTCCTACATTTGAATCAGTTATTAACATTTCTCTCTCTAATTCAATTATTTTTAGGCAACATTTAATGTTGCATCATGAATTATTGTAGCTGATACTTTCACCTATACGTATTCAATTTTCAATTTTCAAATGTCTACCTTTAATTTTGACAAATATTTTATTCAGTCAATTCTTAAAATATGATTTGGGTTTCCACAGGCTGTCTGAATTATTACTAGGTCTTACTGTTAATGAAAAGTCTAATCTCCTTCCTTTTCTTATTCAGAAATGTTGTTAAATAAAAGGCATAACATTCTGCCGGATATTCAAAGACATTTACTGAACTCTGGATTTATGGTTATTTTATTTTGGTCACAATTTCCGAGCTGCTTCTCAGCGGAAATTATTTCATCCCATCTTTGTCTTTCTGATGCAGTTATTTTTATTATTGTGCTGTGCCTTTTCTGCTCTCATGGCGTCGCCATCCGCCTTATAACGTGAAGATTTGTCTCCTCCACTCTTTGTTAAGACTGATTCGAGGGGATTTTTTTCTCATTTCGAGTCAGCTCGTGCTTTGCGCTCTGTCTCCCTGGAAGCTGCGTTTATTTCTATTTTTAACAGACAGGATTCCTAAATATCAAGTCGGGGGTTGCATTTTCTTCACTAATCCACCTTCTCTCATCCATCATGGAGCGTCGAATTACTTTCTTTGTTTTCGTTTTATTGGGGAATGTCGCAAATGGTGACGTGAGCTTTTCGTTTCAAGAGGAAATGAAGCGTGGATCTGTTATTGGAAACATAGCGAAGCATCTGAGTCTGGATTTGCGTAAACTATCATTTAGAAATGCTCGCGTGGATGCGACAGGAAACCGCAAACATTACTGTGATGTAAACGTGAGCACTGGAGATCTAATAGTGGCCGAGAGGATTGACCGAGAGGAGCTTTGTGGAGAAAAACTGTCGTGTGTGATCAAACGGGATCTTGTTCTGGAAAATCCTCTTGAACTGCACCCTTTTAATCTCCATATTCAGGATATTAATGATAATTCTCCGCTATTTAATGAAGCGTCTTTTAAAATAGAAATTCAGGAGTCGGCAAGTAAAGGAGCTCGGTTTGTGATCGAGGAGGCGCATGATGCGGACGTAGGACAGAATGCAGTTCAGGAGTACAGCCTCGAACGTAACGATCATTTTATTTTGGATTCTGGTGGAAATAAGATAGAGCTTGTTCTAGATAAGGAGCTTGATCGTGAAAAGCGGAAGGAAGTAAATTTATTGCTGACAGCTTTAGATGGAGGATCTCCTCAGAGATCAGGAACTGCGGTTATTCATGTCATTGTGCTGGATGCTAATGATAACGCCCCAGTGTTCAGTCAGGAGGTTTATAAAGCCAGTCTGCCTGAAGACTCTCCTTTAGACACTCTAGTGGTCACAGTTAGTGCAGCTGATGCTGATGAGGGACTGAATGGAGATGTGACTTATGATTTTGGTCACGTGTCTGAGGATGTAAAGAAAGTTTTTCAAATTGACCATAAAAATGGTCAAATAAAACTTATTAGTGCAATCGATTTTGAAACTGTTACATCATATGATTTACGCATTAAAGCGAAGGATGGATTAGGATTGTCAACATACACAAAAGTTACCATAGATGTCATTGATGTCAATGATAACATCCCTGTAATCTACATCAAGTCTCTAACTAACCCAGTGCCAGAAAGTGTGCCACCAGGAACAGATGTAGGAATTATCAATGTGCAGGATGCAGATTCTGATAATAACCAACAGATCCGTTGCACTGTACATGGAAATGTTCCTTTTAAGTTGGTTCCTTCTATCAAAAACTATTATTCTCTGGTGACCACAGGACAGCTGGACCGTGAACTAGTGTCTGATTACAACATTACAATCAGTGCCACTGACGAGGGCTCTCCACCTCTGTCCTCCTCTAAAACTGTTCAGTTATCTGTAGCTGACATTAACGACAACCCACCTGTGTTTGAGGAGCAGTCCTACAGCGCTTATGTGAGTGAAAATAACAAACCTGGCTCCACTTTATGTTCCGTTAGTGCTCGAGACCCGGACTGGAGACAAAACGGTACCGTGATTTATTCTCTGTTACCTGCTGAGGTGAACGGCGCGTCGGTGTCCTCCTATCTATCAGTTAACGGAGACACGGGGGTGATCCACGCTGTCAGGTCGTTTGATTATGAACAGCTGAGGAGTTTTAAAGTCCCAGTGATGGCCAGAGACAACGGTTCTCCTCCTCTCAGCAGCAACGTGACCGTGAGTGTGTTCGTATCAGATGTGAATGACAACTCTCCTCAGATACTGTACCCCGCCCCGGAGGGCAGCTCCTTCATGACCGAGCTGGTCCCCAAAGCTGCACACGGAGGCTCTCTGGTGTCCAAAGTGATAGCGGTGGACGCGGACTCTGGACAGAACGCCTGGCTGTCCTATCAGATAGTCAGATCCACTGATCCGGGACTTTTCACTATCGGTGTGCACAGCGGAGAGATCAGGACGCAGCGGGACATTTCTGAATCTGACAGCATGAAACAGAACCTGATTGTAGCAGTGAAAGATAACGGACAGCCCTCTCTGTCTGCCACCTGTGCCATGTATTTACTGATTTCTGATAACTTGGCTGAGGTGCCAGAGCTGAAAGATATTTCTTATGATGACAAGAACTCCAAACTGACCTCGTATCTGATCATTGCGCTGGTGTGTGTGTCCACCTTCTTCCTGACCTTCATCATCATCATCCTGGGTGTGAGGTTTTGTCGCAGGAGAAAGCCCAGACTGTTGTTTGATGGAGCAGTGGCCATTCCCGGAGCTTATCTCCCTCCTAATTACGCAGATGTTGATGGAACAGGAACTTTACGCAGCTCCTACAACTATGACGCCTACCTGACAACAGGATCTAGAACCAGTGACTTTAAGTTTGTGTCATCTTACAATGACAACACGCTGCCTGCTGACCAGACTCTGAAGAAAAGTCCCTCTGAGTTTGCTGATGTGTTTGGAAGTTGTGATTCTTCCCCTGAGGTAAGAATAGGTCAGATGTTACCCATGTGAGCTTTGTCGTGAAAGAAAACAGGAACTTGTTGTGCTGTTTCAATATCACTTAAGCTTTGTGTGTGTGTGTGTGTGTGTGTGTGTGTTTGTGTGTGTGTGTGTTTGAGTGTTTGTGTGTTTGTGTTTGTGTGTGTGGATGGGTGGGGTGTCAAATATACAAATTGAAGTTAAGAAATTTCTATTGTAAGTGCTTACAGCTGTTTTTGGAATGCTGGGTCTACATTCCTCACAAAAAAAAACATTAGTAATGACACCTTTGTCCACCGTGGTTTCAAATTCTGGTTCTAATTGAAGGAGGGAGGATTGAGTTAATGAACTAACTGAAAGCCTGGCTTGTGGTGTTAGAGGTAGAGGAAGAATAGTAGATGGCCAAGCCCTGACCACTGATGAATCTTAGCAGAGACTTTCGGTGAACATAGTCTGGAGCGTCCAATGCAGATGTAGAGTGTTTGATTTATGATGCATTTAGTAAGAAGAAGGTTTCATTTGGATAAGCAAATTGAGCATTTTTGATATTTTTGGTTGAGAAGTTATTTCAAGTAAGGTTTGGCCTTTCCATATTTGCATTGATGAGTATGAAGAGAAATCTTGCTGTTCATCTTGGTGGGGATGGCAATATAAATGTGCATATTGTCCTCAATCATTGGCCCTGTATTCAGGATCTTTGGCAGATATTGTGAAAATTTTAGAACCTCTGAAGTGTCAGCTACCCAAAAGAAGAGCCATGCATTATGTAGAGGTGTTTAGCTGCAGGTGACTGTGGCACATACAAGCCTTTTACTCTTCCAGAGATATCACAAGATGAAGTAAAGATGATCAGAATGACAAACACATGCAGATGAGCTAGAAACTGCAGCAATTGTTTAGATATGCAGCTGTGTGCCACCAATATAACAATGAAGAGAGAGAGTCTTCAATGACTTATAACATGGCTGATAGGAGAAGAGGTAGAAGATGAAGAGAACAGGGCCATGAACTGAACTCTGATGGATCCCACCAGTAACCGTGGGTGAACCTGATCAGAAGTCTCAAACTGAGAGGTATTGCATTTGATTTGAAGTATTAACCAACTGAGGACTGTGTCTGAGTCTAATGATGTGGTGAAGCCACTTTAGGAGGATTCTATGATCAGTTGCAGACAGATCAAGGAGAAAGAGAAGAGAGCAACAGCCAGTATCTGTAGACATTTAGAGGCCACTTGTGACTCTTGCCCAAGCTGTTTCAGTGCTGTTGCCAGAACAGAACCTGGGGCCTCATTTATAAACCAAACTTGTGCATCGATCTGTGCGTATTTCATGTGTAGAACTAATTTATGCATTGTGTGGTATTCATCATTTTGTAATGTTCCTAAATATAAGAAACTTCAGACATGCTGAGGAACAGCATCTAGTGGTAGAACGGAGGAACAGCAACACTGAAGGTCTCAGTCATCTACACGTTCCTCATCCACAAATTATTTTACCCAATAAGATGTGGCACATAGTTGGTGCCAACCCCCCCACATGGGAATTTGACATTGTAGAATGAATTTCATGTTTTTTGATCACAATTGTTACTCTTCCCATTTTTATGATGATCTTAATTGTTAACATGCACAAAACGACAATGATCCAACGAAGACAGCAACAAGGAGGGAGGTATAAATACACAAGGGAATCAGGAACACATGGGCAGAGTAATGAGGGACAGGTGAGAACAATAAGGCTAATCAAGGCAGGAGAGACACAGTCAGGGAGGCCGGGGTGGATCATGACAGATACCAGAAATGGGTGTGTGATTTAATAAGACGTGTGGATAATGAGTGGATTTATTGACTACTGGTCTCATCATGGCATTTTATGGCTGGAGGAACATGACCAGTTTGCTCGGAGTGCTTCACACTCAAAGTAATGATGGAACAGACGCGTCTTCACCAAGGACTGGGTCCAGGAAGCAAGCAGAAGATTTCCTTTCTAATAAAGCCTATTTATTGCTTCCAGTGGTACTTTAGTTCAGAATGTATTTGAGGACAGGTGGAGTCTGAACAATCTGTTTGTAGGGAAGCCAGTCGAAACAGAGGAAATAGATAATGTAAGATGTAGAGAAAGCAAATATATAATCACACTTTTGTTCAGTGGAGGCTGTGGATGGTAGAGATTGGAGTTTAACAAGATAGTTAGCTAATCTAACAGTTAGCTTCTACTAGCCGAGATATTCTCTGCTGTTTCCTAGATGCTAAACCAACAGCAGCTTTCCGCGTTGCAAGTCATGATGGGTGAGTCCATGAATGTTAGTGACAGTGTTACAGAGATCTGTCAGGTTTTTCAAATCCTAGAGTTTCACTGTCTAATTTTTATCAGTGAGAGGCCTCCTTTAACCGGGGAAGCAAACAATGTGTGTTTCATCAACATATTCTCACACCCGAAGCGTCCAAACATGATGTTGAGGGACCAAGCTTTTGTTTTCGATGCATTAGGAGCATCAGGAGGCGTCAGTTTCCGACACCTGTGATAACATTTCACTGACATTTAACCTCTAACCTCTTGCTATTTAACCTTCCCCTCACCCCCAAACTAACCATGACCTTGTTTCTCATTCTAAACTTCCTGTTAACAATGTTTGAGAGGGATGTTACAACTAGAAACTAAGTTTTGCATGCACAAGTGGGTTAAGCTTAGGATGGGGGAGAGGGGAAGATTAAATAGCTAAAGGGTAAAGGTCAGAATTCCGTAACATCTCCATTTTGTCGTGGAATTTGGAAAGTGACGCTCTGGCACAGCTCCCAAAACAAACGCTTGGTCACCCGTCATCAGTTTTTGACACTTTGAGTGTGAGAATGTGTTGGTTTCATGGGGGCATTCACATCAACAAGGCTACTGTGGGTGAGGTATTAGTTCACTGCTTCATCAGCTTTAGGAAAGATAGGTTGAGAAAAGGTTGGAGTTCTGCTCCAATCATATGAGGATTTGGATATTTCTAAAAGAAATACTTGGCGTTTGGACCTAATGAGACGAGATGAAAATAATACACATTCATGGGAACCACTTTATGAGAGGACACAACCAGATCACAAACAAGCTGAGGAGTGGAGCAGAGTTTGTGATGAGCAGATCTATAGTGTACTCCTTGTTGTATGTATAGCTACTGAAAAGCTGCTTTAAATGGAAACAGTCCAATAACTCAGGGAATTTCGCTGCACTGTGATGGGAATTTCGCTGCACTGTGATGAGAGCGTGTGGGAATATGAATGTTCATGTCTCCCAGGATTAGGATATTTGCATGGGGTCGCAGATGGTTGTATATCTGACGAATCAGCGTTGTTGTTGAGGGTGAAGATTATTCTTCCTGAAGGAAAATGATGGAAAACATGAACTCATTTTTGACAAAAGCTTTTTTGCCTTTTATTCTACTGTGCTTCATTTTTAATCATTTGAAGAAAAAAAATATATATATATATTTCTGTGTTAAACGTTTGGATTGTTTCTTTTTTATTGCTTCCTCATCAAATCAGTGGTATTTGTTACAGTGATTTAGACATTTAAATGAGACATCAGATTAAATTATCACACAAAAAATCCATGCCAAAAGAGGCATACATATTCTTTGGTAATGTAAATTCAAGCAAATCAGCAAATGTATCAGGGGAGATGGCTTGTTTAAACTCACAATGTAAAACTATCTGGTTTTGGCTGGACTGGACCATGAACTCAAGAGCCAAAGATGTTTAAAAGAAGTAAAAAGCATGCTACATCTTCATTTATGCTATTGTGTCTGTTATTTGTGGTGACCATTGCAGCCTAGGCATTTCTCTGAAAGTTTACCTGCACAGTTGTGCCCTTGATTTGTCTGAAGTCTCATCTGTTGATTGAAATAATAATTTAAAATGAAGAAACTAAAATGGCTTCATAGAACCTTTAAAGCACTTTTGAACAGTCTTGAAATATTATTTAATCCAAACAGATACCCTTCAGGACATAGCTCTGCCCTTTCCATAATCCAAAGTGTGCCTCCCACTAATTGTATTTGGGTTATTTAACTTTTTGATTTATATATGTTGTTGGTTATTTTGGGTGTTTAAATGTTAAGTTAAAACTGTGCAGGAGTCCAGCTGCAGTGTTACAGGAGGGGGTGGCAACATGAATGTTCATGTCCCCCAGAATTAGGATTATTTTTTTGAGGATGTGCGGAGGCTGGTGAGGAAGTGGAACATTTCTGGTAAAATCTGGTTGCTTTTAGTCAGTCTTCTGGTTCGCACTTGAGGGTGGAGCGTCTTCATCCTGAAGGAAGATGATAGAATATTTGACCATAATACTTGATTTGACCAAAGCCTTTGTGCAGTTTATGCTAATTCACTTTCAATGTTTAATTTTATTTTTTTGAAAGCATTTTAATATATAATTTTTGTAGGTGTGTTGATTTTGGTCAGTGACTAATGTTTTCTTACCTAATCAGTGACAACTGTCATGATTTAAACATATAATCACAAAACCAGGATTAACACATCACACAAGGCCAAACAAACTTACTCCTTTATTGGCTGCTGTGGCTTAAATCATTCAGATTAAAAATGTATTCATGCCAGTATAGCTTCCTTGGACTCAATGCTCAAAACTCCTGTGGCTGGACTGGACCTTTAGGCCAAAACCTGAAGATCTCAGAAAAAACAACAGCTATGAGTTCAATTCTGCTACTAATTACATCATGTATGAGTTTAATAATGCATATAAACTACCTTGTAGTAGGCTCTCGTCTCATTTCACCCAAAGTCCGACTGCATAGCTGTGTTCTTCATCAGTAGAAATGATCTCATTTGTCAATCGAAATTAAGACATTAAACAGAAGGAACACATGCTCTGATATAACAAGTAATTAACATTTTACATTTTTTTCATATTATCTGTGCTCTTTCTGATAAAATTAAAGGAGGACACAAAATACAGATGACTCCTTTGCAATTGTTGCCCACCACTACTCATGGTCTATACTATATCTTATGTGTGTCTTTTCTAATAATAATCCATTTATTTGTGTTATTGTTTCATTAAGAATGAGAAGGGAAGCCCTGTGCAGATTGATGTGAGCTATACCTTTGATAATGTTTTCTGTAAAAATAAAATTTGTGGGATCAGATATATTTTAAAACAATTAACAATACATTATTTTTAATTTGCAATTCTGTCACATGAGAATAACACTGTATTTGAACTAATTAAAGAGGTTTTCATAATGACATAAAACATATTAAGTTTCAGCACTAAAATAGTTGCTGAAGAGTTTGATCATTTCTATGCAGTGGCTATATTTTATTTCTACTCAAGGTGTCAGTATAGACCAGATAAGCGTGTAACATTGACCGTGTTTGTCTTACATCCTCCATTACTGGGATTGGTCGGTGTGTGTTCTGTGCTATTTAAGACTGGTGGTCACAGCGGAGAGAAAATCATAGATTTGTGAGGAAATTATTTTACGGGTAAAAACGTAGTTTTGTCGCTTGTGGCATTAAGCTGCGCAACGATGGCATTTAGTCTGCGAATCGCATTAATCTGCGGACTCTTTGTTTTCTTTGTGCTGCACTGCGCTCACGGAGACCTGACCTATTCAGTCGAAGAGGAGCTGAAACACGGATCTGTCATTGGAAATATCGCAAAGGATTTGGGACTGGATTTCGGGAGACTGGCTGCGCGTAAAGCGCGTGTCGAAATGGAAGGAACTGATAAACAGTATATAACAATCAACCAGAAAAATGGGGATGTGGTCGTTGTAGGGAGGATAGACAGAGAGGAGCTTTGCGGGGAGAAGCCGACATGTGTTCTCAAATTCGATCTGCTTTTAGAAAATCCTCTGGAATTACAACGACTGTCTCTCCAGGTACAGGATATAAACGATAATTCACCCGTTTTCCAAAAGGATGTAATGAAGCTGGAAATCGGAGAATCAGCTGTTAAAGGAGCGAGGTACCGTGTGACTGCTGCTCATGATTCAGACATAGGCCAGAACTCCGTTCAAAGCTACGTTTTGAATCAAAACGCGCACTTCGTGTTTAATATTCAGACATCCAGCAGTGGCAGCAAATATGGAGAGCTGGTTTTGGATAAAGAGTTAGACCGAGAAGATCAGAACGAACTGAGACTGCTGCTCACAGCTGTAGATGGAGGATCTCCTCCTAAATCTGGGACTGTAGTTATTCACGTCACTGTGCTGGATGCTAATGATAATGCTCCCGTTTTTACCGAGTCTGTTTATTCAGCCAGGTTACCGGAAAACTCTCCGGTAAAAACCCCAGTTGTTACAGTTAGTGCAACAGATGCAGATGACGGTGTTAATGGAGAGGTCACATATGAATTTAGCCGACTATCTGATAAAGCAGGGAAGCTTTTTTCGATTGATCAGAAATCTGGAGTAATCTTTGTAACAGGTGATGTAGATTATGAAGAAGGTCCTAGATATGAAGTTATGATTGAAGCTAAAGATGGATACGGACTAACCTCAGAAGTTAAACTAATAATTGACATAATTGATGTGAATGACAACGCCCCACTGATTAATCTAAAGTCCCTGTCCAACCCGGTACCTGAGAACGCACCACCTGGTACAGAGGTGGGCATCATCAACGTGCAGGACAGAGACTCTGAGAAGAACCGACAGGTCCGCTGCTCCATCCAGCAGAACGTTCCTTTTAAGTTGGTTCCTTCCATTAAAAACTATTATTCTCTGGTGACCACAGGACAGCTGGACCGTGAACTAGTGTCTGATTACAACATTACAATCAGTGCCACTGACGAGGGCTCTCCACCTCTGTCCTCCTCTAAAACTGTTCAGTTATCTGTAGCTGACATCAACGACAACCCACCTGTGTTTGAGGAGCAGTCCTACAGCGCTTATGTGAGTGAAAATAACAAACCTGGCTCCACTTTATGTTCCGTTAGTGCTCGAGACCCGGACTGGAGACAGAACGGTACCGTGATTTATTCTCTGTTACCTGCTGAGGTGAACGGTGCGTCGGTATCCTCCTATCTATCAGTTAACGGAGACACGGGGGTGATCCACGCTGTCAGGTCGTTTGATTATGAACAGCTGAGGAGTTTTAAAGTCCACGTGATGGCCAGAGACAACGGTTCTCCTCCTCTCAGCAGCAACGTGACCGTGAGTGTGTTCGTATCAGATGTGAATGACAACTCTCCTCAGATACTGTACCCCGCCCCGGAGGGCAGCTCCTTCATGACCGAGCTGGTCCCCAAAGCTGCACACGGAGGCTCTCTGGTGTCCAAAGTGATAGCGGTGGACGCGGACTCTGGACAGAACGCCTGGCTGTCCTATCAGATAGTCAGATCCACTGATCCGGGACTTTTCACTATCGGTGTGCACAGCGGAGAGATCAGGACGCAGCGGGACATTTCTGAATCTGACAGCATGAAACAGAACCTGATTGTAGCAGTGAAAGATAACGGACAGCCCTCTCTGTCTGCCACCTGTGCCATGTATTTACTGATTTCTGATAACTTGGCTGAGGTGCCAGAGCTGAAAGATATTTCTTATGATGACAAGAACTCCAAACTGACCTCGTATCTGATCATTGCGCTGGTGTGTGTGTCCACCTTCTTCCTGACCTTCATCATCATCATCCTGGGTGTGAGGTTTTGTCGCAGGAGAAAGCCCAGACTGCTGTTTGATGGAGCAGTGGCCATTCCCGGAGCTTATCTCCCTCCTAATTACGCAGATGTTGATGGAACAGGAACTTTACGCAGCTCCTACAACTATGACGCCTACCTGACAACAGGATCTAGAACCAGTGACTTTAAGTTTGTGTCATCTTACAATGACAACACGCTGCCTGCTGACCAGACTCTGAAGAAAAGTCCCTCTGAGTTTGCTGATGTGTTTGGAAGTTGTGATTCTTCTCCTGAGGTAAGAATTTGCCCTTCATAAAAAAAAATGAATTGCCTTGAAAAAAGGAATCAGATTATATAAAAATAATTTTTAATTAAATTTATTTTGTGTTTAGTTTGCCTTTTGAATCAGAGTCCAGCTAATGCTGCTTGAAAAATTCTCTTTTTCAATGAGGCTATTAAAATAAATTATTATTATTATTATTATTATTATTATTATTATTATTATTATTAGTAGTAGTAGTAGTAGTAGTAGTAGTAGTAGTAGTAGTCGTAGTCGTAGTCGTAGTCTTAGTAGTAGTCGTAGTAGTAGTCGTATTAGTATTATTAGGAATATTAATATTATTTAAAAGCAACCTAATCCATCTGCATTGTTCCTTTGGGGTCATCTACACTTTTCGTTTTGTATTTCTGTCTTTAGTGCTGAATGTTCTAGTAGCTGCTGCCATTCACTATCTAGTTTTATGTTTGTTTATTTCCCTTTGTTTATTTCTTTATTTTTTGTTACATATTTATGAGAAATCTTTATCACTGTGAGGAACAGCAAATGTTAAAGTATTTAAGACAATAAAATAAGGTTTTAATTTGTTTTGACGTCCTCTATAATAACTGCTTCATATAAAAAGAATTTTGTGTTGGATTTTGCTTGATTTGTTTCATCTTTACCCACCAAGATATTGAAAATAGGCTGGAGTTGTAATAACTTTTTATTTTATTTTGGTATCGTCATTTGTCCAACCTCTTTAAAATCAAATACAACTTATTTGTCTAACTCACCTCGTTTGGTCACCTGCATCATTGAGTGATGTTACAGTCAGTCTAGCCCCTCTTAGCACTCCTCTCTGACAACATGAACCAGTGACTTTAGGTTTGTTTCATCTTGCACGCTACCTGCTGATTACACTGAAGAAAATTCCCTCTAAGTTTGCTGATGTGTTTGTGATTATTCTGCTGATGTTTTAATTTCTTAGTGATTGGCAGCTAATCTAGGATGCATTTTGTATCTGCTTTATATGAAGGTGGAGATGGGGTAAGGGAACTTTTACCCCCTGGTTTGTGGTTTCATCTTAGCATTCCTGAACAATCTGGACAAATGGATTTGTCTAACAACGTTTAAGAGTGGACCTGCTGCATTACTTTAGATTAGCCATTTGATCACATAAAATTTCACTTGTTTTAAAGCTATTGAATTTGTCATAGAACAGCTCACGTCTGGTTTAAGTTTTACTTTAGTTTATCAGCATTTTGCACGTTTAATCCTGTAAGAGGTTTGTGTTTATTTGTATTGTTTTCATTTGAAACAGCTGTCAATTAAGCACAAACGTGATTACTAAAACTTAACTGAAAACGTGACTGCACTAGATAATCACCTGTGTGATGGTGAATTGTCTGGGTTCTGTTTTAAGAATCAAGTTCACTTGATCTTTAATTTATCATGATTTTCGTTTGTTTGTTTTGTATTTGTTTTTTAAAACGCGAGTGAGAGAAACCTATCATCCGCAACAAAAGGGAAAATCAACAAAAATGGAACAATAATATTTTAAGACAACCAGAGAGTGTGGGAACATTTGATCACGCGATTGCGATGATGCTGGAGATTCGGTTGTGAAGTGAATAGAATGTCGAGGCAATTTTGATAGTTTTCCGATCATTGTGTAGAGAAAATACAGTGAAAACTGGTGTTTGCTTTGCGTTTTGATGCAGTTAAACTGAAGCGAGGAGTGATTAACATTTTTTTAAGTTCGCTTTCCGTTTTGACAAAACATCCATGAAAGGAAACGCTGATGCATTATTCTAGTAACAGTTTTTTTCAGTATTTGTGAACAAGCTGTCATGCACTAACAAAAACTCATGGTGTCAGTATGTACTTATGAACGGGAGGGCGATAGATCTCTCCACCCTTTAGAAACAGCACATCCACCTTCACTCAGAGGCGGAACAGCCTTAGATGAAAATAGCTTGGTATAACTTGCGCTATTTATTTTATTTTGTATTTATTTTAATCTAATATACCTTCACACTTGCATTATTACACATCGAGGGCCTTTCTACTCGGAATAATGGCGCGTATTGCGTTTGCGCTGCACTGCGGCCTTTCTTTTGTTGTTCTGTTCCTTCACCCCGTCATCGGAGACGTGAGCTACTCTATTCCGGAGGAGATGAAACGCGGTTCCGTGATTGGAAACGTTGCTAAGGATCTGGGACTCGACCTGGGCACACTGTCGGCTCGGAAGGCGCGTATTGATACCGAGGATAACAGCGGCAAATACTGCATGATCAATTTTAACACGGGAGAGCTGATTGTGCAGGAGAGGATCGACAGAGAAGGTCTTTGTGAGAAGAAGCCGTCCTGCGTTGTTAAACAAGAGCTGGTTCTGGAAAATCCCCTCGAACTGCATCGAATTAACATCCACATCCGGGATATTAATGATAATTCTCCCCAGTTTAAGGAGGAATCCCTTAAATTCGAAATACGGGAATCAGCAGATAAAGGTGCGACTTTTGTTCTTGATGAAGCGCACGATGCGGACATCGGAGATAATGCTGTGCAGGACTACTCGCTCCAACAGAATGATTATTTCAAATTAAATGTCAAATCAAAAGGTGCTGGACGGAAATACAGTGAGTTGGTGCTCGAGAAGGAGCTAGACCGAGAGGAGAAAAAAGAAGTCATTTTGTTGCTGACAGCTTTAGATGGTGGATCTCCTCAGAGATCAGGTACAGTAGTCATACACGTCACTGTGCTGGATGCTAATGATAACGCCCCAGTGTTCAGTCAGGCTGTTTACAAAGCCAGTCTGCCTGAAAACTCTCCTTTAGACACGGTTGTTCTTACAGTAACTGCTGCTGATGCTGATGAGGGAGTGAATGGAGAAGTTATTTACGGGTTTGATCACGTTTCTGATGAAAATCAGATGTTTTCTTTAGATCCTAAAACTGGAGAAGTGAATATAGTCAAAATTCTTGATTATGAAAAGAAATCATCGTATGAAATACAAATAAGCGCTAAAGATGGATTAGGATTAGCATCATATGCGTCTTTATTAATTGAAATAATAGATGTAAATGACAACGCCCCCGTGATTAACCTAAAGTCCCTGTCCAACCCGGTACCTGAGAACGCACCACCTGGTACAGAGGTGGGCATCATCAACGTGCAGGACAGAGACTCTGAGAAGAACCGACAGGTCCGCTGCTCCATCCAGCAGAACGTTCCTTTTAAGTTGGTTCCTTCTATTAAAAACTATTATTCTCTGGTGACCACAGGACAGCTGGACCGTGAACTAGTGTCTGATTACAACATTACAATCAGTGCCACTGACGAGGGCTCTCCACCTCTGTCCTCCTCTAAAACTGTTCAGTTATCTGTAGCTGACATCAACGACAACCCGCCTGTGTTTGAGGAGCAGTCCTACAGCGCTTATGTGAGTGAAAATAACAAACCTGGCTCCACTTTATGTTCCGTTAGTGCTCGAGACCCGGACTGGAGACAAAACGGTACCGTGATTTATTCTCTGTTACCTGCTGAGGTGAATGGTGCGTCAGTGTCCTCCTATCTATCAGTTAACGGAGACACGGGGGTGATCCACGCTGTCAGGTCATTTGATTATGAACAGCTGAGGAGTTTTAAAGTCCACGTGATGGCCAGAGACAACGGTTCTCCTCCTCTCAGCAGCAACGTGACCGTGAGTGTGTTCGTATCAGATGTGAATGACAACTCTCCTCAGATACTGTACCCCGCCCCGGAGGGCAGCTCCTTCATGACCGAGCTGGTCCCCAAAGCTGCACACGGAGGCTCTCTGGTGTCCAAAGTGATAGCGGTGGACGCGGACTCTGGACAGAACGCCTGGCTGTCCTATCAGATAGTCAGATCCACTGATCCGGGACTTTTCACTATCGGTGTGCACAGCGGAGAGATCAGGACGCAGCGGGACATTTCTGAATCTGACAGCATGAAACAGAACCTGATTGTAGCAGTGAAAGATAACGGACAGCCCTCTCTGTCTGCCACCTGTGCCATGTATTTACTGATTTCTGATAACTTGGCTGAGGTGCCAGAGCTGAAAGATATTTCTTATGATGACAAGAACTCCAAACTGACCTCGTATCTGATCATTGCGCTGGTGTGTGTGTCCACCTTCTTCCTGACCTTCATCATCATCGTCCTGGGTGTGAGGTTTTGTCGCAGGAGAAAGCCCAGGCTGTTGTTTGATGGAGCAGTGGCCATTCCCGGAGCTTATCTCCCTCCTAATTACGCAGATGTTGATGGAACAGGAACTTTACGCAGCTCCTACAACTATGACGCCTACCTGACAACAGGATCTAGAACCAGTGACTTTAAGTTTGTGTCATCTTACAATGACAACACGCTGCCTGCTGACCAGACTCTGAAGAAAAGTCCCTCTGAGTTTGCTGATGTGTTTGGAGACTGTGATTCTTCCCCTGAGGTAAGAATAGGTCAGATGTTACCCATGTGAGCTTTGTCTTGAAAGAAAATAGGAACTTGTTGTGCTGTTTCAATATCACTTAAGCTTTGTGTGTGTGTGTGTGTGTGGGGGGGGGGGGGGGGGGTCAAATATACAAATTGAAGTTCATAATAACACCCAATTACAGAATCTGAAAAAAACAACACATTTTCTTTAAGAAATTTCTATTGTAAGTGTTTACAGCTGTTTTTGGAATGTTGGGTCTACATCCCTCACAGAAAAAGCATTAGTAAAGATACCTTTGTCCACCGTGGTTTCAAATTCTGGTTCTAATTGAAGCAGAGAGGACTGAGTTAATGAACTAATTGAAAGCCTGGCTTGTGGTGTTAGAGGTAGAGGAAGAATAGTAGATGGCCAAGCCCTGACCACTGATGAATCTTAGCAGAGACTTTCGGTGAACATAGTCTGGAGCGTCCAATGCAGATGTATAGTGTTTGATTTATGATGCATTTGGTAAGAAGAAGGTTTCATTTATGTGGCAAGGTGGAGAAATGAGGGCCCGGGTGGGATTCAATCCCCAGACTCCCGGGTGAGAGTCATGCGGTCTAACTAGTCAGCCAAAGGGACATCCCCTTGGCCAAGTAGCCAGGGCGCATGATCAATCGGGACACTGTGACAGGACGCTCACACTGTCACATTTAGATAAGTGAATTGAGCATTTTTGATATTTTTGGTTGAGAAGTTATTTCAAGTAAGGTTTGGCCTTTCCATATTTGCATTGATGAGTATGAAGAGAAATCTTGCTTTTCATCTTGGTGGGGATGGCAATATAAATGTGCATATTGTCCTCAATCATTGGCACTGTATTCAGGATCTTTGGCAGATATTGTTAAATTTTGGAACCTCTGAAATGTCAGCTACCCAAAAGAAGAGCCATGTACTATGTAGAGGTGTTTAGCTGCAGGTGACTGTGGCACATACAAGCCTTTTACTCTTCCAGAGATATCGCAAGATGAAGTAAAGATGATCAGAATGACAAACACATGCAGATGAGCTAGGAACTGCAGCAATTGTTTAGATATGCAGCTGTGTGCCACCAATATAACAATGAAGAGAGAGTCCACAATGATTTTTAGCATGGCTGATAGGGGAAGAGGTAGAAGATGAAGAGAACAGGGCCATGAACTGAACTCTGATGGATCCCACCAGTAACCGTGGGTGAACCTGATCAGAAGTCTCAAACTGAGAGGTATTGCATTTGATTTGAAGTATTAACCAACTGAGGACTGTGTCTGAGTCTAATGATGTGGTGACGCCACTTTAGGAGGATTCTATGATCAGTTGCAGACAGATCAAGGAGAAAGAGAAGAGAGCAACAGCCAGTATCTGTAGACATTTAGAGGCCACTTGTGACTCTTGCTCAAGCTGTTTCAGTGCTGTTGCCAGAACAGAACCTGGGGCCTCATTTATAAACCAAACTTGTGCACCGATCTGTACGTATTTCATGTGTAGAACTAATTTACGCATTGTGTGGTATTCATCATTTTGTAATGTTCCTAAATATAAGAAACTTCAGACATGCTGAGGAACAGCATCTAGTGGTAGAACGGAGGAACAGCAACACTGAAGGTCTCAGTTATCTACAAGTTCCTCATTCACAAATTATTTTACCCAATAAGATGTGGCACATAGTTGGTGCCAACCCCCCCACATGGGAATTTGACATTGTAGAATGAATTTCATGTTTTTTGGTCACAATTGTTACTCTTCCCATTTTTATGATGATCTTAACTGTTTTAACTAATGAAAAATATGTTTTCATAAATTTTATTGTATTATGTTTTTGTCCTTGTGAAGCGCTTCCTGATTTTGCTTGAGATGCATTAGATAAAATATTTTATTATTACTATTGTTATTATTATTATTATTATTATTATTATTATTATTATTATTATTATTATTATTATTATTATTATTATTATTATCATTATTATTATTATTATTATTATGTAAAACATTGTGATGCAGAATATATTGGCATAAATATCGGTATCGGCCGATATTTGTCATTTTTTAACATATTGGTATTGATCCGATAAATAAAACCGGCCGATATTAACAACTGATATTTTTTCCATCTCGTCTCCATTTGTTTGCATCTTTCAGAGGGAGAGGGGGTGATGTGAATTTTTTTAGTCATGTGAACAGTGAATGTGATCATCTCAGAAGCATAAATGCGTGTGTTGTGTGCACATAATTATGTAAATTCAGCTTTAATATTTTTCATTTAGCTGATTTTAGAAGCATTAATGTCAGCATATGCGTATTGGGAAATATCGGTCATCGGCCATAACAGTGATATTAATGTTGTTCAAGGGTATCAGCCCAACTTTTTATTATCGGTGCATCACACATTATTATTATTATTATTATTATTATTATTATTATTATTATTATTATTATTTATCAGAGCATGTTGATTGATTGATTGAAATCTTTATTTTGAACACAAAAAAATAAAAAAAGTACAACAACGTAGAATTCAAAGAGACAAATAATTACCTCAAAACAAACAGAAAAAGAAAACGAGCAGTCAGAACTAATAACCTTCATGTTCAAAAAGGAGCAGGAAGAAGCATCAGCTTATTTAATCCCACCCCTCTTCCATTATCTAGTAATAAATAGATATTTCTACATATACACATAAATATATGTTTCTATCTACATACATGCACATACACACCTATTCACAATTTCAGTATCCCCAGTAACACTTCATAGTATACACAACCTATATATATATATATATATATATATATATATATATATATATATATATATATATATATATACACACACACACACACACACACACACACACACACATACCATCATACCCATGCCCCCGCAAAAAAAAAAATATATATATATATATACATAATAAAAAATTCTCAACGTGAACACCCTATCAAGTCTCTACCTCCTCCCTGTATCCTGCAAAAACCATATCCTTAAACCGCTTTTTAAGCTGCACCATGCTCGGACATTGCTTCATATCTTTACCTAGTCTGTTCCACAGCTTCACTCCACATACAGAGATGCAAAAACTTTGTAATGTTGTTCGGATACAAGGAAGTTGTAAAATTAACTCCCCTCTCAAATTATATCCACGCTCCCTTATAGTAAACAGTTTTAGAATATTATCAGGAAGCAATTTATTTATTGCTTTATACACAATTTGAGCAGTGAGAAAATGAACTAGATCTGTGAATTTTAGAATTTTAGCTTTTAAGAACAGAGGATTCGTATAATCTCTATAACCAGTTTTATGGATTATCCGTATTGCCCTTTTTTGTAATATAAAGATTAATGATAGCGAACATTTGTAGGTATATGGATCTGCACTTGTGCATTTTTAAGGGAATTCCCAAATAAGATTATTTTAGTTTTACTTAAATTCAGAGATAGTTTATTCCTGATGAACCATCTTTTAATTTTGCACATCTCTGTAGTAAATGTATCCAGCAGTTCCTTTAGATTCCCCCCAGAACAAAAAATATTTGTATCATCTGCAAATAATATTAGTTATAATATATCAGATACCCTACAAATATCATTTATATAAAGAATAAAATTTTTTATCCCAGTACAGAGCCTTGTGGAACACCACAAGCAATGTCCAAACATGTTGAGGAATGGACAACCAGCTTCACAAATTGTTTCCTGTCACTTAAATAATTTTTCACCCATCGCAGTACAACCCCCCTTATCCCATACCATTCAAGTTTATTAATTAATATATCATGATTAATTGTGTCGAATGCTTTCTTGAGATCCAGGAATAGTCTAGCTGCATACTTTTTCTGATCTATGGCATTTGTAATCTCCTCAATTGATTCGATTAAAGCCAGAGATGTTGAACTTTTCGATCTAAATCCATATTGACTATCAGAGAGTAATTTATATTTATCTAGGAATTTGTCTAATCGTTTATTAAAAAGTTTTTCTAGGATTTTGGAGAATTGTGGTAGTAAAGAAATCGGCCTGTAATTTGTGAAGTGGTGTCTATCCCCATTTTTATACAGCGGCACAACTTTAGCTATTTTCATTTTGTTTGGAACTTTTCCAGTCTGAAATGATAAATTGCAAATATATGTTAGAGGTCCAACTATTCCTTCAATGACCTTCTTAATAATTACCATATCAATATCATTACAATCAGTAGATGTTTTATATTTACACATGTGTACAGTGTCAATTATTTCTTTTTCCTCCACTGCTATGAGGAACATTGAGTTTGGGTTCCTGTCAATCAGGCATTCCCTACAGTCTACTGCTGGCAGTGACTCAGGAATTTGTTCTGCTACTTTTGGTCCAATATTGACAAAATAATGATTAAAGCTGTTGACCATATCAGCAGGGTTTTCCATAATATTGCCATTGTCAATAAAATGTTGAGGATAACTACGTTGCCCAGAACTATTTTTAATGATACCATTTAAAACATCCCATATACCCCTCATATTATATTTATTGTTGTTCAAAGTTTTACTATAATACTCCTTTCTACATACACGTATAATATTGGTCAACTTATTTTTGTATTTTTCATATTTATTTTCAGCATCTTTTGTTCTATGTTTTAGGAATTCCCTATAAAGTGTATTCTTCTTTTTGCAAGCATTTTGTAAAGCCTTAGTGATCCATGGTCTATTTGAGTATTTATGCTTCCTGCTGTATTTTATTATTGGACAGTTTTTATCGTACAATTCCATAAATATATTTAAAAATGTACTATATGCAATATCATATCAGCTTCTTTGTACACATTTTTCCAGTCCTGATTTAATAAATCGTTCTTAAGTGCATTCATAGCTTCATCAGTCCTTATACGTCTGTATCTCAGTTTCGTGCTGATTTCTCTTATAATTGGTGTTATAGACTGCAAAAACTGGTAGGTGATCACTGATGTCATTAACTAATAATCCGCTCACGATGTTGTTTTCCATATTGTTGGTGAAAATATTGTCCAGTAAGGTGGCACAATGTGGTGTAATTCTGCTAGGCCTGGTTATTCTAG